ATTTTATCTATGATCTTATTAAAGTAACAAAACTGAATAACTATAGTACAAATAATGCATAATGTGATAGCGACATGATTTCATTGTCAGCAATTTTTTGTGACATCTGTGGCCTTGCTATAAGTCAAATGCAGTAAATGAAGTACTTGTCTCGCTGGTGATAATATAAAACGCTATAGTACTCGGAAGAAAATATTATCCAATCTGATCTGATCACGCTTAAAATGGAGATGATGATTGATTATTTTTTTTATCATTGTATTAAAGTATAAACATGTAAATATACGTATACACATGTATTGTTGATAGGAGTAACAAACGGCAGCGCCAGTGCGGAAGCAGAGTCGCGCGCGGCGCTCCTGCGCGGGCTCATGCTGGCGTCGCTGGGCCGGCCGCCGCCCGCGCAGCCGCCGCCCGCGCCCCGCGCCGCGCCGCCCGCGCCCGCGCCGCCCGCCGCCGCCCCCGCGACACCCGCCACCCCCGCGCCCCCCGCCGCGCCCGCCGCGCCCGCTTCCGTGCCGCGCGCCAAGCCGCAGCCTCGCACCAAGGTTTGTACACGAAGCAGTTAGTTGTAATGACTATGGTAACATAAGACGTTTGACGAATGTAAAGTTGTAACGGTGGCCGTGGTGCGCAGGAGGCGGCGGCGCGCGCGCACGCGGCGGCGCGGCAGCTGCCCGAGGGCAGGTAGGAGCGCGCGCCCCCCGCACCCGCCGCGTGACAATCTCCAGTGACCGAGCGAGCCCGCTCCGTCGTGTATAGACGTCGGTAGATGAAACTATTTAATGTTTACTCGTTAGATATTACGGTAGTTTATGTAATATTATTTATCCGAGGAAGCCGCGATTCCAGTTCCGGGGAATCTGGCCGTAATTGCACTTTGAGGGGTAAGGATTGTGGCCGTCGATGTTGTTAGTGATTATCCGGTGTACATATGGAGACGCAGACGCGCCGCAGCCGTCATCGGTCTGACTGGTGACCGCGTAAAAATTAACTGGACATTTCCTCGTTGTTTTTCACTAACACTTATTAGTGAATGCTTATGTTTGTTTTGTTGGCTTTCGAAATATCAGTGTGATTTCCTTTATTGTAGTAAATAATAGTTATGGAATGTTTCTGTCAATTTATTCACAAAAAAAAAAAATTATCATCGAATAAGCAATTTAGTATAATTTCAATTAATACTTTCAAAAAGTGAGAGGAGTTAATTTAAGAAAACCCAATGTTTTTATATCGACTGTAGCTTTCAATTCTTAACATTTCAACATTCATAATAAAGCACAAAAGCAGTATTAGTTTACTTATTATCATGAAGTTATCTAATGGTAATATAGGTGTGCTCATTAGACTGTAAATAAAGCATCAAGACTCTCTCTTTTACTATTCTTATAATATGGACAAGTAAAATGCTACTTAACCACAAAATTTTCACTAGCTACTCAAAAGTGCTTATTAGTTTGATTATTATACTCCAACATTACAAAATGTTTGTATGTACCGTAATTAAATTCTATAATATTATATAGTTTGTATTTTATTTTAACAAATGTACTAGTACTAATTTAATTATTAATTCCTTATAAATTTGTAACAATAAAACTAACTGCAAAATAGGCTTGGTATATCTACAATAATCCTTGATTTTATTTTTCTAGGATCTAGAGTTTGTATATGTTATTAATTGGACATGATTATAATGGGTCTAACATTGACTCTTAATGATTTATCAAAATGATGTTGTATTAAAAAAACATGTCCAAAGAACTTATTCAATTACTGTTTTTTATGGCTTTATTCACGTAAATCAATATGTAATATATTCCACGAATTAAGATATAATCTACCCATATACCAAATTTCATTAAAATCTCTTCAGCTGATTAAATGTGTGAGAGTCAAACACAAACATCTTTAAAAAAAATCACATTAATAATTAGAAGGATAATTAGATGCAGATTTATACACACTTTTGGGCAACACTAAAGATAATCATAGTAAACCCTACGTATATGTACGTCACACCTGTCTCCCACTGGGATAGACAGAAATTATGAAATACTAAATGATCAGATACAGACATAGATTAACGATATTATCTTTTCGTTCTCTTTCTATGGAGTCAAATATACATGTCGTTTCCTTCACATTTATCAATCTACTTGTACAAGCTCGCCGGTTAAGAGTAGTTATCTAAACAACAATAGAACTCACGAGGTATATTGAAAAAAGTGTAGAAAATTTTTCAAAAAAGAAAAAAGGATTTTCTTAGTATACTATTTCCTACATGGTACAACTGATATTTTGAAAAAAGGAAAGCTATTTATTTGGCGCATATCAATAACAATTACAACTAAAACAAACAATTATAAACGTAAAAAAAGGAAATACAAAAATAAACTTATACCTAATTAGAAATTATTTTAATAAAAATTTATATCTTTAAAGACAGCATCAACTAAAAAACAAACATTTAAATGTATATTTCATAACGTATTTTGAAAACATTATATAATTATAATATAATTTACAGGGTACAGAGGAATAACACCTGAGTCCTCAGGAATGGCAACGCATGGGGGGTATCATGGGCGAAACAGTATACTCTGTTATATCCATGGTACTGCTCATGTCTATAGGCGACGGTTATCAATTTCCATCAAGTGGGTCGTCAGCTTGTTTTCCATTCTAAATTGTATAAAAAAAAAAAACATTTTGAATCATGTGAATAACATGTTAGTAGTCGTGAGTATATAAAGTGTAGATTGTAAATATTGTTTAAATTAAGTAAATTATAATCGGTACCGTATATTTGTAAAAAAATGGGTAATTTGAATCGAAAAGGGTCGTAGAACGAAAAAGGGGCCAATAGAAATGTCAAAGGGTGAATAGAAACGCCAAAGAAGTGATTAAAAGTGCTTACGAAGTGAAATTATTTTGTCATATAGAGTTATCAAAACTGCTTTTCTCAACTTCATAAAATGTTACTATATTATGTTATTATTATGTTATTAAACAAGTGTGAAAATTATTTTGTGTATAACTTTTATTTTAGCTACTTTTATATTATATACTGTTTCTTCAATAAAAAAACACCAAGCTTGCTTATATGTTTAATGACCAATATTATTAACTAAAATTACTCACATACTTAAATTTACTTTATAAAAGTGACAATCCCGGTAATTTTTCTATTGACCTATCTCTTGTTTCTAGTCACTTCCAGATTACAGATTTTAAAAGATTAAAAAAACTGCACTATTTATTTAATAATAAATACCCAAATATTAAAGATTATGACACCGCATTTACGTACCGTAGAATTATTAAATGTTACTGTTCAGGCAGATTCGTCTAAAACGAAGTCACAAATTGTTTCTGTTCACTTCGTTTAATCAATTAAAAAAATATATTGAACTGGTCAATATTTTATAAAAATTTTATTCATTAAAAAAACAAGTTTCAAGTATTTTTTGTTTAAATACTTAAACTTATATTTGTCTTTAAATTAGACTTTTGTTATTATTATTTTTTTGCTATCAATATCTATTAATTCCACATAGAAAATCTTTTCCGAAACCATTGAACAAAATAATTATAATGAACTAACCAGTGTACCGAAACCGTTTCTATTCATCCAATGAATTCTATATATCCCGTTTATAAGCTACTTTTTTTTTATTTTATACAGTATTTCTTAGATAAAAGACACATCATAGTTTATATATTTTAATAAATGTGAAATTGAAACTAAAAATTTACCATTTGGCCAAACAAACACTTAACTGTATTAAATAATACTGAATAGAAGCTTGTCTTTCGTGGGCCAACGCTAGATCGTCACGCGGAGCAGTGAGCATCCTTTTATTTTTGAAATTGTTTGTTTATTAACAGTTCAAACCAACTTACTTAACTGTAAATTGGTTTGACCAAATCGCAAACTTTTAGTTTTCTTTACTTTACATTTATTCGAATATAGGTATTTAATGCCCAATTTTAAATATTTTTTTATAAAGTAAATTAAAATACGTACTTTAATTTACTTTATGTTCGGAGTAACCGAGTGCCTTTCTATTTACGTCACATTAGACGACACATCACCTAAATTATTTTCTACTAAATAATGCATAATAGCACGCCATGAACCGTGCGCATTCATAACATAAACTATTTACAATAATAAATATGAACAGAATGAATCAGGAATAATAAGAAAGTATTTTAATAGCCCTCCGTAAAGATAACAAAAACACACTTTTACAAAGTTTTAACTTAAAAATTTTGCATTTTCATACTACAATTTTTAAAATATGTTTTAACAAAGATTGAAATACGAGAGGAGGTCATAAAGTTCGCGGAATGATGGGGAAGGAGGTTGAAATTAAATATGAACCTTGTTTTTTTTCTTTTTAATATATTCTCTCTTAATACATTTTTCGAATCATCAAAAAAAAAAAGTTTATCTTTGCTGTCAAAACAGGCCAAAATTACAGACTAGACTTCTTCATCGTCGCCAAAATTTTTTCCAGGCAGCTCCTTTTTCATTTTTGGGAATAAATAATAGTCACTGGGAGCCAATCTGGAATTTTCAAACCCGCATCGGTGGATAACAGGCGTCGCAACATGGCACGTGTGGACGGGAGCGTTGTCGTGCAAAAAGAGCACACCTTTTGACAGCTTTTCTTTTCTTTTTTTCAATCGATCCAGTAAAGTAGCGTAGTACTGTCTCGTTATAAGCATACCTTCTGTATCCCAAAAGATATTCGCCATGATCTTTCCAGCCGATTAGGACACTTCTTCAAAGGAGTTGTGCCTTTTTTATGCCAATGCATCGACTCTTGCTTCGACTTGGGTTCATAGTGGTGAACCCAGGTTTCATCTCCAATAATAATCCGGGCCATAACTTCTTCCCTACTCTCTTCACAGAGCTCCAAAAACTAGCACTGGCTTCAAAAAAAAACTTTTGAAGTGGCGTGAGCATTCTTGGAACCCATCTTGCACTGACCTTGGTCATGCCAAGATGATGATGTATAATATTTAAAATACTTGTTTCGGATACTCCAACTAGTGATAGTTGTTTTTTTTTTTTTTATTGCGGGTAGATGTGTAAGAAGTAACAGCTAAAATTTTTGTCTCCAAATATAAGTGTTATTTTAAATTATATATATTGTATAAGTAGTTATATATTTATGTGTATATTAATAGTCTAGCTAATATCTACCTGCAGTGATATTATTTCCTTTCTTTCACTCCTATAATCTCATAATGGACGCACTACAACAATCAATGAACACAATGATGGAGCTTCTTAACGCAAAGATGGTAACATTCCAAGAGGATCTCCAAAGGATAAGTACTACACCAGCCACAATCTCCTCATTGGCGGCAAACTTCACCGCCTTTCGGTCATTTGCAGCTGAGGTGATGAACAACCTACAACATCAGGTACAAATACTTGCACGTCAAATGGAACAACTTGAAATGCGCAGTCGACGCAAAATCTTGCTGTTCCATGGGGTTCAAGAGCGTGGGGGCGATGACTCTGCTTCGGAAGTAGTCAGAATTGTAACTGAGCACTTTAAACTTCCTGACTTCTCTGCAAATGACATCAGTAGAAGTCATCGTCTGGGACGATCAAGCGCTGACAAACCAAAGCCTATTTTAGTAAAATTCCGAAATGCAGCTACTCGTAATAAAATATGGTTTGCTAAGACAGCATTGAAGGATAGCGGCGTCACTATGTCAGAATTCCTGACCAAGTCTAGACATGATGCATTCATGGCTGCTCGTCAACAGTTCGGAGTGAAGAGATGTTGGACTCGGGACGGCTATGTGATTGTAATTACATCAGATGGTTTAAAACACCGAGTCAGTACTGTCGACGAAGTTCAAAAACTCATCCAGGTTTCTGCTGCAGTACCTAAGTAATGCTTTTAATACTGTCGATTTTGATATATTATTAGGAAGATTGCGTTCTCTCAACATATCTCCAGCCGTAATCGAGTGGTTTCAAAGTTACCTGAATGGGCGCCAGCAACGCATTCGTACTGAAGATAGCTCTTCATCATGGTGTCGCACGCTAGCTGGTGTACCTCAGGGTGGCGTCTTATCTCCTTTACTTTTTTCGTTATTTATTAACACCATCACTATTCAACTTCGCTCTTCCTACCACCTTTATGCAGATGATCTTCAAATTTACTCACACGCTCCATTTCATGAGTTAGACTCTGCGATATATTCAATAAACAAAGATCTGGCACACATTTCGAGCTGGTGTAAATCATTTGGATTAACTGTAAACCCTAATAAAACGCAGGCTATTATTATCGGGAGCCCCAACTATATTTCAAGAATTTGCTGGGAAAATCTGCCTAACATAATGTTCGACGGGATATCTGTGGACTATAAAGATTTTGTAAAGGATCTCGGAATATATCTTGACAGAACGCTATCCTGGAGCACCCAAATAACAGAGATTAGTAGGAGGGTCTTTGCGATTGTGGGCTCACTCAGAAGATTACGTAATTTTTTACCTATGGCCACTAGAGTTGCTCTTGCTCACTCCCTTGTCCTTCCTGTCCTTGACTATGCTGATACCTGCTACATTGATCTCACCGAAGACCAACTTAATAAACTTGAGCGTCTCCAAAACCTGTGTATTAGATTTATATTTGGACTTCGTAAATACGACCACATCTCTAATTTTCGCACTCAGCTCAAGTGGCTCCCAATACGTCGACGCCGAGATTGGCATATATTATCTCTTCTTTATTCCATTCTATTCAATCCTCTTACACCACACTATCTTAAAGAGCGATTTATATTTCTCGGTGAAGTTCAGAGTCACGCTTCGCGTACCTCAAATAGTCTCCGTTTAAAAACCCCAGCACATACCTCCGTGTACTACACCAAATCCTTTTCCGTTCAGGCAGTGCGCCTATGGAACTCGCTGCCACCGTCTATACAGAGTGCGCAATCCTTGGCTTCGTTTAAAGGACAAGTCAAATCACATTTTCTTTCACTGTAGTTACTCTTTTCCACTCCTTTGTAATTTTTGGACTAGATTTGTCATATTTCCTTGTGTGTGCTATGTATGTATTTATATGTGTATGTTTATGTATTTTGTATGTATGTTATATGTGTATATGTATGTGTATGTGTGTATATATGTATATATATTGTTATAGTAAGTAGTTTAATAAATTATATGTATTTGATATTTTTGTGCATTACATGTTTTTGTATTTTGTGCACGAAAATTGTTGATTCACTCTTGCGCCACCTGCCCTTTTCTATCTGTTCTCCCTTAACTTAAGGTTGTCTGTAAGAGATTGCCCTAGCGATAAGACCGCCTTTTGTACCTTTATGTGTATATTTCAATCTGTATTTATGTTACTGTATTTAATTTGAATTATTCACTTGTCATTGTATATTTTTATTTATGGTGCAATAAAGAGTTAAATAAATAAAAAATAAATAGTGCTGTAAGCTGCTTCTCCTTCAGCCGGGTATCTCCTAATACAAGTTTTTCTACTTTTGCGACGATTTCCGGTGTATTGGCGTCAATTGGCCGTCCGGAGGGGGAACTATCTTCAATAGACTCTCTTCCTTGTTTGAAAAGACCATGCCACTTATAAACCATGGTTTTATCAAGGGCAGAGTCTGCGTAAACTGCTAACAGCTCTTGAAAAGTAAGTATTATAATTAATAATAATAAATATAATAATAATAAGTATTTATATTATTTTATGAACTTTTATACTAGTAATAGTTTACGAAAAAAGTTTTGAATTATAAATGAAATGTATTGTAATTGATAGGTATGCTTTATTACTGTCAGAAGTCCATAAATCTGTTGTAGCAGCCGTATATTCAACTAAATGTAGAATATCTACAATTACAGTGCGTGCGGCATGATAAGCATCAGGAAGAATTTTCTCTTTTAAAAGTTTCCTGCTACAGCGGGTAAACTTATCACAATTTTAATTTCTCACTCATAGTATAAATAGACTCCACCACTCGAGTGGTACGAGTCACTCGAAACTCGAGCTGTCAAAAATTTAATTCGAAAGCAAGTAATATAAAACCTACTCGAGTCACTCGAGCGAAAAGCAACTCGATTCCCATCACTACAAGGGACCAATTCGGAAGTCGTTTCTCAAAACTTATCTCTTAATCTAATATTTTAATTTGATAATTTTGCATAATTACTGTTTTATAATAAACTACATTTATAATAATTTTGACTTAAATTTAATAGAAATTAGAATAATTAATATTGGTCCTTAGAATAAAAATTTCACTGTAATATCAAATTGAAGTTTTAATTTTAGAAATAGGTTTAGAGAAACAGTATCTCAGAATCAACTCCTCTGCTATTTACATTACTTTTAAATTTTTTATACTTATTACGTTTTTCAGTTATTTATATTGCATATAAAATAACCTCTTGCATATGAAATTGCGAATGCATCATGGCTAGTGAAGAACATAAAGAAATTGCTGAATTTTTGAAAAATGTTCACTTATCGCTTAGAAAATCCTCTGCAAAAATAGGTGCAGAAAAAGCCTGGTTAGAACACTGCAAGAATCAAGACATACTTAAAACTTATGCACACTACATGGAAAAATTAGCAACTATTCACTGGCAAGCAAGTTCTAACAGTGCATTAACCGATGCTACGTCTCGCATTACATGGTCAGCAGATGTATGTTTTGATTACTTTATCAGTAAATCATTTATGAAATACAGACATAAAGAACATGAAATTGCAGAAAAACTAAATATCCCGTTTAATATGGATGAATCCTTTACGTACCCTATGAAACTTATTGATGTGGGAAGTTGTTATAATCCTTTCAAAATATATGATTTCTTTGATGTGTTAGCTATTGATTTATATCCTGCAAATGATTCTGTACAACAATGTGACTTTTTACATGTTTCTATTGGTAATACCGTTTCTATTGACAATAATAAAGTGAAACAATTAAAAGAAGATTATTTTGAGGTAGTTACATTTTGTTTCCTTTTAGAGTATATCCCTAGTTCTAAACTAAGGATCAAAGCCTGTGAGAATGCTTACAAGCTATTAAAACCTGGTGGTCTGTTAATAATAAACACACCAGATTCAAAGCATGTTGGAGCAAACTATAAAATTATGAAATGTTGGAGGTATACATTGTCCTGTATTGGATTTACTAGAATCAAGTATGAGAAATCAAAACACATGCACAGTATGGCATTTAGGAAAGCTCTGTGTAAAGATACAGCAGTACGGTGGGCAAAAATATATAAGGAACCTTATATGGAATATGTTATACATATACCACAAGATTCTCGTAAGGACAATGAAACTGTGTCGATAGCAGCATCAACTGAAATTTGTCTAGATGATTTTATGGAGCTACCTTTCTTCAATGTGTAAATTAGTTTAAATATTTCATAAGTCACTATTCCATCATATAGTCTATTGGCTTGTTTACCACTCCCAGTTTTATAAAAATCTTGATTGAAAAAAATATCCAGAATTATTTCTAGTTCATCAGCATATCAGCTATTAACCATCAATATGCAATATAATGTAACGTAATGAAAATATAAACAACTATGTAAGACTGTTTGTTGATAGCCAAATGATTTGTTACTAATTTCATTTAGTTTGTTATAACTTCAATAAAATATGGTTTGCTTTGATTAGTTCTATTGAAACAGACTAGGGAGATATAATTAATACTAAAACTGTAATATATATATATATAGTCCAGATTTGTATATTTTTATTGTAAAATAGATTTAATATTGTTAATAATAAATATTTCATAGGAAGAGTAAAATTCTTTCTAATGAATATGGATTATAATAAAATAATACCACCTTTTATTACACATTTATTTCTTAACTAAATATTTTTATAATATAAAATTAAGATAACTTAGATCTGAAATATTAAAGTGCACACAAGCCTTCTGATTGGAATTACATGTTATATACAAAATCTAAAATTTAAATTGTATTATTATAAATTTTTATTTGACAGTTCCAAATTTTTCTTTGCGTTTCTCAAGTTTCTCCTTGTTTTCAATATCTGTCATAATTTTAGACACATTCTGCCCAAATCTCTCAGCTCTCTTTTTAAGTTTTAAAAGATTCTCATTCAAGGAGCCTGTATAAGTCTCTTTATCAGGATTTGGAGTTGTGTTTTGGCTGAATCTCTGTTTTCTAGCTTCCTTCCTCTCTGCTTCAGTCATTTGGATAGGAAGTCCAAATCTTTTAGCTCTCATTTCCAATCTAGTCTTGGGATCTAAATCTGCAGTTATTTTTATTTTATTACTTTCTGAAGATATTATCTTCTCATGTTTTTCTTGTACTTTTTCTTCTGCAGGTTTTGTTGATACAGTTACAGAAGATGCTCTATTCAAAACTATTTTTTTTGCACTATCTTTATTTTCTGCAGATTTGGTCTCTGGTTTCTTTTTATCGACTTCTGATATTGCTATTTTCCTTTTAAGTGATTTTTGCGGTGGCTTTGATTCGCTGACAACTTCCGGCGGTGGTGGTTGCTCTGCCAAAACTAGTTCCTCACTAGAAGCATTTTCAACAACAGGCTCGTCGAGTATATCAGTCTGATTTTTATCATCCTCGTCTTCGAGAACTCCGTCTGAGTCCAAATCCTCCCAATCCAAATTGATGTCATCTTGAGACATTGCAGCTTGAAGCCGTGCCACTAATTCAGCTTTATCACCCACGTGAGACAGTCCTCGTGATTTTAATTCTTTACGCAATTCTACTACCTTCATTTTACTAACATCAGTAACTGTAGAATCTGCCATCTTAATATGTTTAATACAATAAGACAAAACAGATATATTTTATGTACAAAATACCTGAAATAGCGGTAAGATGCAAATATGACAAATACGAATTGACATTGACAATTAAAATTTATTTTTGTTCCTATAGCTCCTTAGTCTATGTTGTATTAATACAATCTATGCTTAAAATTAAACATTTACATAAAGACTTTTAAATAGAAGTCTAGTTCCCATTTTTAGACAATCACTGATGTTGGGAGCAGGTTATTGAAGTAAAAACAACAGGAGTATATTTATAATGAATGTATTTTATTACGACTTACAGAGACGCGTCCGGCATGATTGGCGCTTGCGAAAAGAGGGGCGAGAGAGAGATATATATCTATTACTTTTACTCATTCACGTTTCATTACACACAACAATAACGTTACTTAAGTAGGAGGGAGTGTTATTAATATTTATAATTGGTAGTAGCAGTCACCAGTTTTAAGCAATTATATGTCAAACAATTTATATACACTAGCCTGCTATAAATTGAGTAAAATAGTAACTGATGATGTATCTTTCGTCCTCTTTTTACTAATTATATTTGCAAAGAAAAAAGGAGTTAACTATATGATTTACAGTTTCTATTTTATCGTTCCTTCTATTTAATTACTTGTTCTTAGCTAAAAGTTTAATGTACAGAGTATATTATATATACTTGATATATACAGAGGTTTAGTACCTGTTTTATTTCTACCAGTCTTCATATATAGAATCATCTGTTTTATTTTTGCTAAAAAAATGTACACATGATTCGTGTTTCTACTATCAAACTGAACGGTGTGGACTGCCGTTCGGTGAGCGTGGACTGTAGGGGCGTTGGTTAAGGCTGGAGTGAAACACAGCGATTACTATTCTGAAGCCTCCGGTACCGTCTGAAGAGAGTATTTTTTCTTCTTGTCCTATTTCTTCTCGAGTGTAGTGCGTCGCTGCTCGGAAGCGAATGCCGCTCGACGGGAGGCGGCCTATCTTTATACCCGCCCGCTCGCACGATAACGTTTCCAACTCGCGATAGCGATCTGTGCGAGCGGGACGGGGCGAAAATGAACGAGACGCGTATCTCTTTAGAAGGTACCATATAGCGTCTATTTATTTATTTTATTTCAATTTACAATTTCTTATTTGTTTTTATTACAATTTCTATTCGTAGGTAATAACGACAACACGCAAAGGAATACTTTATTTAACTTACACTATCTTAAATCTATGTAAATCTATATAAAATAACAGAATACAAAAACGATTAAACTAGAGACTTAACAACTATAAATTACGATATATACAAATAATGTCGCGAACATAATCTCCCGCCGCAGCTCTCGTAGCTGGAGTTAACTCGTGTTCGCGTCGCTCGATGTCGATGTGGGCAGTATGATCAGCTTCTTAGTGGGTCGCCGTAGGATGCCCTTGTTCGTCCGCACGTCGACCGCTCGGATCTCGCCGTCTGGTCCAGGGTAGGTCGCCACCACCACGCCTCGCGGCCACGTGTTGCGAGGCAAGGTCCCATCAGCTATCAGGACCAGGTCGTCCATTTTGATGGCTCCGTGTGTAGCTCGGGGCTCCCGCCGGTGTTGCAACTCGGGTAGGTACTCCTTCACCCACCGGTTCCAGAAGCAATCAGCTAGCCTCTGGCTGGCACGCCACTCCTTGTGTCCCGCCGCGTCGCTCTCTGTGAAGCTGCCTGGCAGTGGGACGCGCGATGGACCGCCCAATATGAAGTGATTGGGGGTTAGGGCGCTGTCGTCGTCTGCCGATGTTGACACGTGGGTTAGCGGTCGACTATTGAGGGTGTGCTCGACCTCGACCAGCAGAGTGTGGAGGACCTCTTCCTTGGGGCCCGCTCGTTCAACGTAGCGGCTAGTGCGGTCTTCACGCTACGCACCAACCGTTCCCACGCACCTCCCATGAAGGGTGCGCTCGGGGGAATGTAGCGCCACCGGATGAAATGGACTGATGACTCTTCTTGGATGGCTTCCTCGGCTGCTTTCTTCAGTTCGACGTCAGCACCTTTGAGGTTGGTGCCTTGGTCGGACCATAGCTCAGTGGGACACCCTCTGCGGCTTATGAAGCGCCGCAGGGCCATTATGGCGGAGTCCGTGCTGAGGCTGCCGGCGATTTCCAGGTGGACTGCGCGCGTCGTTAGGCAGGTGAAGAGCACTCCGTATCGTTTCTGGTGAGTGCGGCCCACTGTCACGGTCATAGGCCCGAAGTAGTCTAGGCCGGTGAACGTGAACGGTCGTTGATGATGCGCCAGCCTGCTCTGCGGATGGTTGCCCGTTGATGGCTGCGCCGGTCTTGCTCTTCGTAGGCGACACAGCTGACACCTCTTCAGTTCACTGCGGACGGCGTGTCGTAGGCGCAACACCCACAAGTGTTGTCGCACCTCATTCGTGGTGATCTCGAAGCCGCCGTGGTGAAGTTTCCGATGCACCCATGCGATGTATAGGCGCACCCAGGCGTGCTTTCCGTCGACGATGGAGGGTTCTCGTTGCTCGGCTGACAGATCGGCGGCGGCTGCTATTCTCGATCGAAGTCGCAGAATGTCGTCGTTGTCTATGACGACCGACAGCTGTATGAGTCGACTGGATGACGGCAGCTGTTTCCCTCGTTTCAATACTGCGATTTCGTTGCCGAACGCCTCTTGTTGTATCGCGCGAATCCATAGTCGTCGCGCGCGATCTAGGTAGTGTGTGTCTATGGGGATGAAACACACAGATGGACTATTGCTGTTCTTGATTTTCATCTTCGTCTTCTCTCTATCGACTTTCTTCGTGCGGGTCCAAGTGGGGTCGGCGCTCTCTTTCTTCTTGTTTCTTTTTCGGATGGCGGTGCAGCGTTGACTGGTCGGTCGCAGGAGGTCGATGAACTGCAACACCCGTGCTGAACTGCGAACAAGTTTCAACCAATTAGAAAAACGTGACGGATCGGGTAATGCTATAGACAACTGCGTCGCGTTCTGTAGCTTGTGTACGCGTTCTTCTCCCGTTTCCGCTTGACTATCGTCGCTCGTACTATCTTCACGCGGCCACTGCTCTTCGGGGAGGTACAGGAAGTCCGGCCCACGGAACCATCTATGCTGCGAGCCGAAGTCCGTCGGTGGGTCGCGTGTGGCGTCGTCTGCTACGTTGTGCCGCGTCGGTATCCATCTCCACTCGTTCGTCTTCGTTTCTTCGACGATCTCGGCGACTCTGTGCGCGACGAACGGCTTGTATGCGCGAGGACCGGTGCGTAGCCATGCGAGCACGGTGCGTGAGTCCGACCAGTATACTCGGCGAGCGGGCTTCAGGTCGTGTTCTTCGATTGCCGTGCGCGATAGGCGACACCCGAGGACGGCCGCTTGCAGCTCCAGTCGCGGTATCGTGGTCACTTTGTTGAGTGGGGCCACTCGTCCCTTAGCCGCGATCAGCGACACGTGGACCTCGCCGGTCGCGCTTACGGCCCGCCAGTACACGGCACAGGCGTACGCGTCCGAGCTGGCGTCGACGAATGTATGCAGCTCCGCTGTATCGGCCGTGGCTACCTCCGGGTAGCACCGCGGCACCTCCAGCGCGGACAGCCGTCGCACGTGGTCCATCCAGCTCCGCCAGGCGTCCGCTTCCCGTGGTTGCAGCTCGGTGTCCCAGTCGATACCGGTACGCCACGTCTCCTGCAGTATCTTCTTCGCCTGTATAGTGATGGGAGTGGCGAGGCCCAGTGGATCGAACAGCGACATGATCGCTCGTAGCGCTTCCTCTTCGTCGGCGTCTGTTCCCCGCTGGCTATCTGTGGCGGAAGCTTGTGTCCGTTGAAGTTGAAGCCTAAGGTGTCTTCCGAAGGTCGCCATACCATCCCCAGTATCTTCTCTGCGTCGAGTTGTACCACGCTGTCTCCGCCGGTGTCGGAGAACGCGGCGCGCACTTGATGCGAGTTCGACGCCCACCGTTGGAGATAGTAGTTGGCTCGACCGTGGATCTGTGCGACCTGTCTTGAGACGCGTACGGCTTGCTCTTCCGTGTCGAAGCTGGCGAGGTAGTCGTCGACGTAGTGGTTCATGACCACCGCCGTTGCTGCCTCCGGGAACTCTTCCTTGTACTGTTCTGCGTTCTTGTTCTTGACGTAGATCGCTGTACACGGTGACGATGTTGCGCCGAATATGACACTCTTCATCCTATATTCCACAGGTGGACCCTCTCGTCGATCTCCTCGCCACAGGAACCGTTGCATGTCCCTATCTTCTTCCCGTATGGTGACCCGCATGAACATGTCCTTTATGTCCGCCGTGACTGCCACCCGTCGTTGCCTGGAACTGCATGAGGACCCCCGGTAGCGATTGAAGTAAGTCGGGGCCCGGCAGCAGCATGTCGTTCAAACTGATGCCCTTCGTCTTGGCTGCTGCGTCGTGCACGATCCGCAGTTTCCCCGGTTTCTGCGGGTTGATGACGGCGAAGTGTGGCAGGTACCACACCCGTTGGGAACTCCGTGGCGGGGCGACTTCAGCATACCCGTTCTTGAGTAGCGTGTCTATTTGCTGTTCATATCTCTTCTTAATTTCTTCATTCTTGTCGAGTTTCCTTTCGACCAGTTGGAGACGTCGCATTGCCGATTCGTAGTTGTCCGGCGGCACAGGGTCGTCCTTCTTCCATAATAACCCCGTCTCGTATCCTCCCCGCCGGTAGCGGACGAGTTTTCTCCTCTAAAATGCGTAGGGCGCGACGTTCCTCTTCATTGTAGGACCTCTTCGGTGCGATCCCCAGCGATTCGAGCGCGAAATGTTGCTTCATCATTTCTTCCATCGATTGTTCCTCTTCATGTGTCGTCACTATGTGGCTGATTCTGTGCACCTGCTGTCTTGTCCTGCCGCGACTCGTACCGTGCAGTACCCATCCCAGGTCGGTGAGTGATGCGACCGGCTGCGTGTCGGATCCTCTTCTGACTTCGTGGGCCAGCAGTAGGTGCCAGTTGTCTTGCCCCAACAGTACCGTCGGTTTGCCCTCTTCATAGACCAATTCCCTCTCTATGTCTCGTAGATGTGGACAGCCCTTGATGACGCTGCGCGGTACCGACTGCGGTGATAACTGCAGTCTGTCCATCGTCCGTGCCCCCACTGTGTATTCTTGTGAATTCCGCCCGCGGATCTTGAAGTGAACACGCGTCGATTGAGCTGCGTTGATCCGTGCCCCGGCCACACCTTCCATGTAGAATGGTGCGGGGGGACCCGTAGCACCGATTCGCTCCGCCACCGTCGTCTCGATGATGGTGCAAGTCGACCCGTCGTCCAGTAGCGCGTAGGTGTCGCACGTTCCCGTGGGACCGGTGACTCGTATCGGCAGGATCTTCAGGAACGCGATCTTGTCGTTTTCCCTTGCCGATGCGGCGACTGCGGCGGACTTGTCCTCGACGACGTGTGTTGTCACTTCGTTCTCCGGCTGTTGTCGCGTGGTGTGCAGCAGAGGGTGATGAGTCTGCGTGCACTCATCTACTCCACATCTCTTGCTCTTGCAGGCGTGGCGAAATCTTCTCACTTTGAGGCAACGGAAACACAGCCTATGAGTCTTCGCTAGCTCCCATCTCGCCGATGTGTCTGCTTCCTTCATCGTCTTGCAGTCCGATGGAGCGTGTCCCTCTCGTCGACACATCGGACACGGTGGTGTAGCGGGTTTCTCCTGCGTCGTGTATGTCTTCGCCGTCTTCCTAGGAGCGGACTCCCGCCGGTCTTCGGACGGTATCTCCTCGGCGGGGGCGAAGTTTCCACATCGTGCGGCGGTCCTTTGCAGGAACTGAGAGAGTGTTATGAGGTCCGGTTGTCCCTCCGGTTGGTCGTTGGCGAAATCGTAGTACTTGAAGCGTAGTACCGACGGCATCTTCTCTGTGACGTTTCTCACTATTTCTTCGTTGTAGAGGTAGTGACTCTTGTTCAGCGCTCGTATCGTGGCGACGACGTTCTGCACCTTGCTTGCGAAGAGGCAGACGTCTCTTGCGTTGTCCGAGAGTCGTGGTAGCGCGCGGAGTTTGTTCAGTTCGGCTGTGACGAGTGCTCCAGGGCGGCCGAACCTCGCGGCTAACATCTTCATCACTTCTTCTGCGGTCGTAGACCCGACGAATAGGGAGCGTGCCGCGTCCTTTGCGGCCCCCTTCAAGCTTCTGCGCAGTCTTGCTAGGTTCTCCTGTTCTGTATGTTGACTTGCGCTCTCTTCATAGGCCATCTTCCATGGTAACCACTCGCTCGACGATCCATTGAAGACTGGCAACTCGGTGACTCTTGACGCTGTGGAGGGCAGTATGTTGCGAGCGGCCATCTGCATGGCGATCGCAAACTCGTTACAATCGATGCCCACCTTCAGCACCGGATATTCTTCTTCATCGACTGCATCGCTGCTGCTATCGTAGGAATGGCGGCATGTGGGTCAACGTGGCGTGCGTGGTCCCGATGAAGTGCGTCGCTGCTCGGCTGTGGCGGCGGCGCTCTCGAATCCTCTTCAACGGGTCTCGATGGGACGAACCCCTGACGCTTGCCGGTGACTTCTTCTATCTCTGGTACATGCGGCTCCATCGTGAGTGCCAGCGTGCTTCGATGAACCCAATCTGACGTTCGTTCTCTTCTGACGGTAGCGTCGTCGTCTTCTATTTCCTCGTCGTCTTCCGATTCGGCTTCCAGGGCGGCGACACGTGCGGCAGCCAATTCCACCTCCTTTCGAAGTAGCTCCTCCCGTGCCTTGGCCAGAGCCTTCTTCCTTTGTGAGGCCGTGGTGCGAACCGTGCGTGCCGTGCCGTGCTTCGGTTCCTTCTTCCTTGCTGTCTCCTCTGTCGTTCCTGTGGCTTCGGTAGTCTCCGTGGCTCCTGTGGTCGTTGTATCGCCGGACGTGTTCGTAGTCGATGTGGTGGCGGCGGTAGACGACGTGGCAGCGACAGATGACGTTCTGACAGCCGCAGACGACGTGGTGGCAGCAACGGACGGCGTGGCAGCGACGGACAGCGTTCCGGCGGCCGTAGTCGACGTGGCGGCGGACGTTGTGGCTTCGGTGACGGCGATTTTTTGCTGCGACGACTTCATGTTTCTCGTAGTCGGCATTCCGGCGATCCGGCTTCAGAATGGTCTTCCTCCAGCGATCCGGCTTCTCGATGTACCAACGGTGTTCCTCCAGCAATCCGGCTTCTCGAAGGACCACGAATGTACGGTGTGGACTGCCGTTCGGTGAGCGTGGACTGTAGGGGCGTTGGTTCAGGCTGGAGTGAAACACAGCGATTACTATTCTGAAGCCTCCGGTACCGTCTGAAGAGAGTATTTTTTCTTCTTGTCCTATTTCTTCTCGAGTGTAGTGCGTCGCTGCTCGGAAGCGAATGCCGCTCGGTAGGTATTCTTCTCCGCACGTAGCCGTATAAAGGGGACGTGGGGGGGGGGGGTATAGCAGCCCGGGGCGTTGGCCCCCTTCTGCTGGTGTCTCTCGCCGCACATTACCATGTGCAGGGTAGTTGGGGGTGGTACTTGCCGGTGATTTTCATAGGAACGCACTAAGGTTCACTTGTAGACTGTTGGCGCCGTCTGGGCCGGTCGGCGCGGTCTTCGCCTGCCAGGTGAGACCCCATGGGGGAGGCCCGGCAAACTGCCAGCGCAAGAGCGGCCCATGACGACGGCGCCACGCGCTTCTACACTATGGGACCGTGTCTTCTTCTTCTGCTTCGCGCGAGCGGGTGAGTTCGCGCGCGTATGGCTTCGTCTCCGGCGGTCTAGCGTGCAGAGGCGCTATGCCTCTGAGGTGGTCCCATTTTGATGCGTCCGCGCGTTGGAACAGTCTAGTCGCTAGTTCTTTCACGTGTGCGTCCAGTGGCTGGATTTTGAGGTCCCTCTCCAGGGTGGCGTTTCTGACGAACTTATGCGCACCGGTCAGGGTACGCAACGTCAGGTGCTGTTGTGCTTCTAGTGCTCTTCTGTTTGTCTTGCTGACGAATGCGTACCACGCCGGCGCGGCATAAGTTAGACGCGGGCGGATGTACGTTTTATAAATTCCCGTCTTCATCTGGAGAGGGAGATTTCCGACGAGTACCGGACGCAGCAGGTGCCTGGCTGTTCTAGCCTTCTGGCGAACCTTCTTGACGTGCGTTCCGAAAGTCAACCGGCGGTCGATTTCCACCCCTAAGTAGGTGGCGGTGCGGGACCACTCGATCGGGGAACCGAGCAGGCGTAGCTGTGGTGGCGTCCTTTTCATGTTGGCTGTGATCGCCTGTGTCTTGCGCACGTTCACCGACAGGCGCCATTTTCCCAGCCATTCTGGCAGGGCATCTAATACTGTTTGGAGTTTTAACGCCGCGTGCTTATTGTTGAGCGACGTCGCGGCGTAGGCTGCATCGTCGGCGTAGAGCGCCAGTGTAGTCTGCTCCGTGGTTGGGATGTCGTCGGTGTACTGCGCATAAAGCACAGGCGATAAGCAGCTGCCTTGCGGGACGCCCGCTCGGATGGGACGCTCACCCGAACAGGTTTGTTCAACCGCCACCATGAACCGACGATTCCTGAGAAATGAGGCCACCACTTGGATGAGCCTTCTTGGCATTTCTGTCTGGGTGGCCAACTTGTACAGCAGACCGTCGTGCCAGACCCTGTCAAAAGCTTTCTCCATGTCGAGGAATACTGCTACGGCGACTTCCTTCTTGTTGATGGCCGTTGTGAACGTGTGCAGTATCCTGATCAGCTGCAGGGTGGTGGAGTGCTCAGCTCTGAACCCGTATTGCTCTTCTCTGGGCTTGATGTATGTGTTTATGTGTTTGAGAAGTAGTCTCTCAAACACCTTCGATACATGCTGCAACAACGTGATTGGCCGGTATGATTCCGGTTTCAATACGTTCTTACCGGGCTTAGGCAGCGTGATAACTTTGCCTATCTTCCATGTGTTTGGGAAATGCCCTGTGCGCATAATACCATTGTACAGGCGTGGATCGGCCAGCAGTCGCAGCGTTAGCACCAGTGAAGAAGATTCATCGCAGCAGCAGAGCCACTTCACCTTCGCGGCGTGTGCGCCACCACAAGCTCCGAGTGCATCACCGCGCCAGCGCCACCGAACAACCGTCGTGGCAGAGACACCGCGTGCACCAGCGTGTGCGCCACCACTCGACGAGCTACGAGCCCTCGCCACTCAACTCTGCGTGACCGTCGCCTTTCACTGCCGTCGCACCGCTCGGACCCTCAATAGCCAGCGCCAACAAGAAGACGTTGTCTGGTGCGTTTGTTGTTGCAAACGTACCGGGCAACGGCCGGCTGTCACATAGGACAGCTGAGACGAGCCACCCTAGTTCGACGTCCATCTGGGGACTGGCCCCCCCCAAGAAGTAAGGATCGCGGGAGGCTGCTTCCAAGAGCCGCACAACGGCATCTACAAGCTGACACCAAATGAAGCTGAAGCATAAGTGCTAAGTGTAATTTGTGAAAGTGATGCCGAGCCCGGCCAGGCGGCCGGATGAAAAAGGCCCTTATCAGGGCCACAGTGTACCAGTGTACAGTGTACCATCATCGCAGGGGGGGGGACCTACCACCGCTGCTCCTCCCCCCGCGCGCGCCCGTGCGCAGCGCCCGCGATCAGCGATCTCCCCCCCGCGGGGGAGAGAGCGCTCCCGCTCGCGCGCCGCGCATCGCACCATAGAGACGCCGAGCGTCACCCGCGCCGAACCAGCCGCGCCGATCCGCGGCCACGCGAGTGCCACCACCTCTCGCGCCGGTTTGGGCGACGCCGATGCCCAGCGCGCCCCGCAGGCCGCGCCCGCCGCGAACCGCACGATAGCCGTCCCCCACCCTCTCGCCGCCGAAACCGCCGCACACAGTGCCGCCGCCGCCCACACCGACACCGACGCCGTACCCATGTGCAGGGTACAACAAAGGACAACAGCAAGACCCGGAAGCGCTGCCGATGTCCCGATGTCTCCAGCATCACCACCGGACACCGACACCACCACCACCGCTCCGAGAAAGGGTGCAGGCGATTTGCCCGCCACTGGGCGGCCTCTACCTCCGTCCGGAGCCGCAGGCCCCTCCGTAATTTCGGGCGGGGTCCGCGCGTCGGTTTGTCACCGAGATCAACATTAGAGTGCGACTCGTTGATCTTGGGACAAGTGCTGGCGACGGACCTTTTGTCCCAGGGGATGAAGGAGAGGATTGCGGCTCTGGTCGGGGACGAGGCGGCCCGGTTGGAGGGCCAGCCGACGCCACCCGTAGAAGAGATGGAGCTGGCACGAGACATGGGCAGATCGTTCATGATCTCGTCCACTAGACCGGTCAGGCGACCCCGAAGCCCAGAGACCGAGGAGGAGGGGTACAAGCGCCCCTGTCAAGAGCCCTCCCCACCGCTACAGCCCACCCCCCTCGCACAGAGGGACCCAAGACTGAGACCGAGGGACACGCAGTTTGCCGGTCCAAGAGAAAACGCTGTGCCAGCTCCCTCTTATGCAGAGGCAGCCAGAGCGCCTACTCCACCGCCTGGGACATCGGCAGGGACGCCCAGGAATCCAGGAGCGCTGTCGCAAGCTACCGCAGCGCCCCCTCCCCCCCGCGAGGCGAAGAAACAGAGAGTCCCGCCGCTCATAGTGGAACATCTGCCGGATTGGGTGCGTCACTTTCGCACTCTGAAGGGCAGACTGAACTACGCCCCTAACGCGCGCCCCTACGGAAAAGGGGTGCGCTTTACGCCCAAGTCGGAGGAAGAGTACCGCGTAATACAGCGGTACCTCTCCGACTTAGAAAAAGAAGAACACATCAGCTGGTTCTCCTACCAGCTGCCGGCGGAAAAGAGTGTGAAGGTGGCCATCCGCGGAATACCAGCGGACACACCCGTCGAGGAGATAACCGAAGCCCTGGCGGAGCTTGGACATTGTCCAGAATATGTCCGCCAGATAAAAGCCCGCCAGGGCCGCCCGGGGTGCATTTTCTACGCACAACTGAAGCGCACCCCGGCGACCATCCCCGGCATCTATCAAACAACAGAACTATTATGCATGCCGGGGATAAGAATCGAAGCCTGGAGGGGAAAAAAAGGCCCGGCACAGTGCCATAGGTGCCAAAGCTTCCGGCACTCCTCGCACGGGTGCCACAGAAAACTTGCCTGCGTCCGCTGCGGCGAAGAGCACACGGCGCGCGACTGTCCGCGCCCCCGAGAAGAGCCTCCGACGTGTGCCAACTGTGGGGACAAGCACACGGCAAACAGCGTCTCCTGCCCGGTCTTCAAGAGGGAGATAAGAAACCGAAAGGCAGGAGCCATCGCCAGAACTCGCTCCAGATCAACGCACAAAGACCGCACAGTCCCCACAGCCGCGGACAGGGGCAACCTAATGGCCCCGGCCAATCCGGCAACAGAGCGGTCGCGGAAACCGCCTCAGAAGAGGAGAAAGAGGGGGAGGAAAAACAGAGGCAACAGCGACAAAAAGAAAAATGCTTCCGGGTCCGCGGAGCAGGCCCCCGCACGCAGCATCTACACCACACGCCCGCCAGCGGTCGCCGCCCTTGATGCTGACGCGACAACTGATGCAGCAACTGCAGCCCCAACGAAAACCGTCGCTGCCGTACCTACAGCACAGGCAGTACAGACACAAGTCGCCAGCAAGGGGAAGATGGCGAAGCGTGCTAAAGAAACCAGCACCTCCACCAACACAAGCACGGCAGACATGGTGAAAACTATGCTCACCATCCTGATGGAGGTGCTACTTGCGGTGCAAGCCGGATCGGACCCAGTACCGGCGATCACCGCAGGAATGGCGAGGCTGTCCAACACTAAATGGGACTAAGATTGCTGCACTGGAACGCGGATGGGGTCCGCAAGAAGACAACCCTGCTCCGGACGCTGCTTATGGAGTACCGTGTCGACGTGTGTCTCATTTCTGAGACACTACTGGGAGCTCTCGACACACTCCGCATTCCAGGATACCATGCATACCGACAGGACGAGATTACGGACGGCCAGAAGGCATATCGCGGGTTGGCTGTCCTGGTGAAAAGGAACGTAGTGCATCAACCGCTCCCCCGGGTGAATCTCACATCCATGTACGCACTCGGTGTCGAGCTATGCGTAGATAGAAGCCCCATCCGTGTGTTTGCAGTATACAAACCACCACAGAACAGGATTGCAGCTGCAGACGTCGCCGTCATCTTCGATTCGCAGCTGCCCAATGTCGCCGCAGGCGATTGGAACTGCAAACACACGGCCTGGAACTCCAACAACGACACGCCAGAAGGAAAAGCACTACTAGGGATAGCTGAGAGAATGGATATCACCGTGCTCGGCCCTGAGGTTCCAACTCACTATCCCTACATTTCAGCACATGCTCCAGATGTATTGGACTTCGCCTTATACAAAGGACTAGACAGCCAACCGACGCAGGAAGTCCTCCTCGAGGACATCCAATCCGACCACCTGCCGGTGTGCATGGTTATTCCACAAACACCGACATTCCTGACGCCGCGCCTCCCACGCCGTCGGATCGACTGGGTGAAATTCAGGGACTCGATGGAGCACACGCCCATGATGGCAGTCTCAACCTCGTCTGAAGTCGAAGAACTCGCTGCTAACCTGTCAGTCTCCATACAGCACGCCATGGACATCGCAGCGCAGCCGGGACCTGTAACAAGGACCCGCGAGTGGATCCCGGCTGCCACCAGGATGAAACTAGAAGCGAAGCGCCGATTGCGTAGGGACTGGCAGTCGACACGTTGCCCCACCCTCAAGACGAGGCTGAACAAACTCGCCGAAGACATCAGGCGAGACATTGAGTCCCACAGGAAGGAAAGCTGGGATCGATTACTGGAAGACGCCGGCGACGACTGGAATAGCATCCACCGCCTATGCCGCCGGCTGTCACAATCCCAGCCCCCGGTCCGACCACTACTGGCGAGCGATGGGACGCCGAGATACCGTGCAGCAGACCGTGCGGAAATCCTAGCCGAACACCTAGAACGCCAGTTCCAGCCGAACCCGGTTACCGATACCGAGCATGCTGCCATGGTAGTCAAATACGTTGAAAACTACCTGGCTCCGCCACTAGCGCCACACGAAGACCCGGTGGTGTTTACGCCGGGACAAGTGCAGCGTGAACTAAGAAAAACGAAGCCTCGGAAGGCCCCCGGCAGCGATAATATCACGAATGCCGCTCGACGGGAGGCGGCCTATCTTTATACCCGCCCGCTCGCACGATAACATTTCTAACTCGCGTTAGCGAATCTGTGCGAGCGGGACGGGGCGAGAGTGAACGAGACGCGTATCTCTTTAGAAGGTACCATATAGCGTCTATTTATTTATTACAATTTACAATTTCTTATTTGTTTTTACAATTTCTATTCCTTGCAGGTAATAATGACAACACGTAAAGAATGCTTTATTTGACTTACACTATAGGTATCTTAAATCTATGTAAAATCTATATAAAATAACAGTATACAAAAACGATTAAACTAGGGACTTAACAACTATAAATTACGATTACATATATACAAATAATGTCGCGAACAACTATTAAAAACGGATTTTTATTTTGATTATATGAAAAAAAAAGGTTTAAGACTTAATTTCTCACACTATATTTTCAAATCCAATATAATAATTGGAAAATAAATACACGGGAAAATTATTAATTTTTGACGACATAATTCCGTAGAGATCAATAATTGTTAACCAACAATTGGTTGTGTTTATTTTAAACCAAAAACCCCCATCCATAACCTTCTGTTATTTAATGACAGCGACCATAATCTATTTTTTCTGTTGTAGGTGTGGATGCGTAATGTACAATTAAGTTTACTATCCCTTCCATTCGGTATGGCTACGTATCTTATCAACGAAGGGTCTATGAGCCACCTATTAAAAGGATTCGATGGCTTCGTTTGGTACTTGGTTTTACTTCAAGCAGCTGGTGGCCTTATTGTAGCTGTTGTTGTGAAATACGCAGATAACATTTTAAAAGGATTTGCAACTTCCGTAGCGATAATAATTTCCTGCGTAGCATCAATATTCATTTTTGACTTTGTCTTGACCATACAGTTTGCTGCTGGTACAATATTGGTGATTGGTTCCATTTTCTTGTATGGTTATGTACCCAAGAAAAAAGAAGCCAGAAATTCGCTAAATGTGTGATCAGCGTGGCATGTTTATATAGATATATATTATAGTATTTTTACAAATGTATTATATAATATGACGTAAGCAAAAATGATTCATAGTATTATTATTTTTTTGTATTCAAGTACATGTTACAAAATGCTCTTTGTAGACTGGACAGTCTATTTAGCGTAAAAATAAAATTCGTTTCGTACTTACTGTCCTTAATTATACTACCTACATCGAATTATGCCCCGAATTATAACTGGACGATGTCTATACCTAAGAGATATTTAAAAAGAAAATAATATGAGAACAAATGTTACAATAAATATATTTATTTTATTTTTGTTTGTTTTTAATATATTTGTTTCGGTAACATACCAAAACTAATGCACTAAATTAGATGTTTTATCTTGATATGCCATCTAGAAATGTTCTATATGATTTTCCTACTCTCAAAATCTACTCATACGAAGTTGCGGGCAAAAGCTAATAATAAGCGATATACATACCTACATACATATGTATGTATATAAAAGTTATTATATGCTGTAATAATAAGATTTCAATATTTTCTTATACAGAAAACATCACTAAGACTTATTGTCGATTAAATTATATACATTTGAAATTATTATTTAAAAATTATTACATATATATATACATATATGTAAATACCTAGTTTTTACAATATTATTGGTGCTTTAAATGTAATCTAGATTATAAAATGTAGATACTTTATTGACTTTTTAATACCTTAGTTGTAACAGTATTTTTCTTTTGTATCCTAATTATAATAATGTATGTATTACATATTTATTAAATTTTATATTTATTAATATAATTTTATATCATGTGTATGTAATATTTTTATTTGTACTGCTTAATTCATCCATCAATGAAAGCAGATTGGCGAAGTATTTATGCTAATATTAACAATTATACTAATATTAATAGTAACAAACATTTGACAGGACTATTTTAGTAGAAATAAATATAAGAACAGCAAGCTGTAAATTATATATATACATTGATGTATTAGGTATTTATTTGTGTGCTTATGGTAAAGTAGTTGTACTTTATCCTCTAAAAAAATACCTGATTATTTTATTTTATTGATTATATTAATTTGCAATGAAGCATTTTGTTATAAACACTAAGGAGTCTGTGTGAAATATGGATGCCATTAATGAAGTCTGGTATATAGTACTTAAAATATCATTCCATTTCTTAGTCAATTACACCTTTCCAATATTGTTTGTAAAGTAAATCTAGATATTATATTTTGATATACTTAGTAGTTTCATGGAGTAATCCTGTTCTTTTATTATATTTTTGTTAGTATTAGCGAAATTAAAATAATAAGAATAATTTGATGCTAAGTTTTATATTTTAACAATAAATTTATAGTTTAATAAGAATTTATGATTTTTCGTTTTCTCATTTGTTCAAGCCACTTATCAAGTTGTTGTTGTGGTGTTAATGGATTTAGTTTGTAATAATCTTGAGGTGGTTTACCCTCCTCTAATCTTACAAAATAATGACAATACTGATAGCGGACTTCACCCAGTCTGCCTCTGGCATGTCTTCTTAATCCTTTTATTACTGGACCCTTTCCAGCAAATGACTCCGCTGGAACATACAGAACATTATTTGTTATGAACACACACATATAAAGTGCAGTTTCAGAGAAGCTTTCTCCTGCAAACGCTTTGTATCCTGCTGAACCGTAGTCAGGTTGATTACAACATGGGGTTTTTCCAAAAGGGCGTGCTAAGGTTTCTTAAGTATCGGTAATGCGCGTATGACATATCTGGTGTTACAGACGGTTATTATGGTAACGCCGTTTGCCATCAAACAACATATATGTTTGTTTGCAATTAAATTAGTTCAAAACATTTTCAGCTGACACTGATGTAAATTACGCTAGCAATAATTATTTGTATTTAGGTTAAAAAGGCATATACATTATGGTATTTAACATTTATTTCAGCTTAATAGGTTACAGGATAAGACTTATAGCTATTGTGGATGATTTGACAAACAATATGATCCTATATGATGTTTAATGAGTATTTTAAAAATAAAATAGACATGAAAACTCACCTATCCACAAATTACTTCTAAATTCTACATGATGCTCTCTTACTGCAAGTTCTTGTGCTTCAAGAATAGCTTCTTTGGCAAAAATTGCACCCTTTTTGTTAACAAAACTTAATTGCTTAACTGCTTCATCAACTGTCATTCCCCGAACAAAACAAGCTATGTACCACATTTTCTCTGGACTGTATTTGATATTTGTTTTCTGATGACACACAAACTGCAAAAAAATTAATACTTAATTACTTGTTGTGATGGAGAAAGTTAGTAGCTCATTATTGAAAAAAGAAATAATGTTCTTACAAAACAATACATATTGTATGTTTTATAAATAGGACTTCACTCCATTTTTTTTAAAATCACAAAACTACAATTATCTGCTTAGTAAGTAGGTAACAGATCAATTTAATGGATTTTTTTATGCAACCTAGGATGACAAACAAGCTGATGGCCCACCTGATGAAAAGAGGTAACCGTCACCTATAGACATGTGCAGTACCATAGACATAACGAAGTATACTGATACATGCATATCATGGGCAAAACAGTATGGAACACACGTATACATGTGAAATTAGGAATGGCAACACACATGTAGCGTTGTCATTCCTGAGGACTCAGTATCGTAATTATCATATCCTCCTCCTATCTTCAACATTTGTGTGCTTTATATATGCCAAGTCTAGTTGTTTTTATTGGTAGCCAAATCTCTTCCAAAGATTTCTCGCACCTTCTACTCTAGTTACCATGACAGAAACTTTGATCAGCAAAAGTGGAGTTGCCGGGGACTAGGAGCCATTTTTGTCATTGGGGGATCTTGTCAGTAGATTTTGTTGGCTGCCCATAAGGGTGTTTATTATTTTGGGTAACCACAGTTAGACTTTGGAGATGTTTTAAAAGGGATATTGCTGCCCATCCCTCGCCTTCTCTTAGTCACCTCTTACAACACTCATGAGAAAGGAAGGGATGGCCTATTCTATGTCGGGACCACACAGCCAAGAATTTGTGTAATGTTTTTACTCATATTACATTACACATTACATAAGGCTTTTAGCTTTATGATCTGCTGCCATCCTTATATTATTATTATTAACCCTACTTAGTAATGCATTACTTGGTGGTATCTACTACCTGTGGTGTAAAGGAAGATTGAGGAAAAATTAGAGGGATGTTTAGTAAGTATAGGAAGTTGGTTAAAAAGAAAGGATCTATAAAGAAAAGGGAAAGGCGAGACACTGTGGTTGCAGATGGGATACTGGTCAGATAAGTGCAGTAACTCAGGAGGAAACCAGGATCGCACAGAAATGTACCTGTACTCTAAAATGGGCTGATTATTAGAAAAAACACCCCTGGCATGTAGCTAAATTGTTACAATTGCAATTACAATTAATAGGTAAATACTCAAATTAGTGGTTGATTGACTAAACTAAAAAAAATTACAAGTTCAAAATTGATCTGCACCATTCATTTTGTGCTTATTCATTTTTCATTTTTCTAATTCTCAATTTGAAAGTTCTTTAAATTAAAAATAATAAAATTGTAAGATGCAGTAAGTATACAACTATTTTAAGTAACTTCCAAAAAAAGAATTATATAAATTAGTTAAAAAGAAAATTAAAAACTACATGAAATAATATTTAATTTTCCTACAGTAGGTTTATTTCATTATAACAAACTATATTAATAAAATAATAATAGATAATAAAAGGTTTAGACACTTACTGCAGGCCTGGGCTCTTCCCCATTTTCTTGTGGAGGATAAATTTTTTTATTATATTCTAAAAATCTCTTTGGAACATTTGATTTCGTCCATGCTAATGAAGATGTTGAAGTATGAAATTTATTTATGTTATTCTGTTTTAAAATTATAGCGCATATATTGGTAAATTTATTCATTGTTTAATCAATGGGTAGCCTTAGTACTTATAGATCAGAGAAAATATAATAAGTGTATGATTTTTATCACACGAAATTTTAAAAAAGAAATTTAAATAGTATACACATAATTTAATTTTCAATATAAACCTATTCTATCTTAATTAATTTCAATTCGAATTCATCAAGATCTCGTCCTAAATATGGACTAAATTAGGTTAGGCGAAAATATCACCAATGAGTGACATATGTCAAATGGCAACAGAATCATAGTTTTAGTACAAGGTACTTTATAATCTAAGCGTAAAGTTGTAGCGTAGAACGCAGAGAATAAATTTGGACTCTGTTGACGATCAAGCATATATATTTTGTCTCTCGCACATAGTTATAGAGTGCGCCTTGCTCTGTCGACCCTACCAGCATCTTAAGCCGCAGGTAGAGCAGTTCGGATTCCGGAGTGGCTATTCTACTTCGCTCCAGCTTGTACGGAAGTTGCACTCAGGGTTCGCCGATATATATCATGATATATAACACGATATATATCAATCAATTTTTATCTTGATAAATATCAATTGATTTTTTCCTGTCTTCTGGTTCATATCTTTAAGACTTTCAACCACTCTGCAAGGGGCATCCATAGTACAGCTGCAGCTCCGTCATACAATATAGACTGGATTTGGAATCCCAGTGTGAATGTCAAGAGGACATCATAGAAGAAACAGAAACAGAGGTTGACTGGAACTGGGAGCCAGATGATGATGTCCCACTCGTAGATCTATGCTTAAGACCTTACGCTGAATGATTACAAATTATTATTAAAATTTGTTGATTTATCTCACAAAGAAATTAAGATTATATATTATTATAAAAATAATAGGTACTTGTTTTTTAATTGTTCATTAAAAAAATATTTCTCAAATAAACACTAAGTAATTCTTTTGTTACTTGTTAAAAGTTTTTTTTAATAATAAATGTAGTAATAATTTGATACTTATTTTATTTTACAAATTCCTTTCACACTTTTAAGCGTGTATTCCCCTTACAGAATGAAATTCGCTTCTTTTTTAGCCGGAATATATATCGAATATATATATAAAGAATCGAATTTTTTAAATTTAATATAAAAATCGGATTTTTTCGAACTCTTGTTGCATTACTTGGTCGTCGAGTATAACCGCGGTCGATACACAGTCGGTGTATTTCTCAATATCGAAAAAGCGTTTGATCGCGTGTGTCACATCGGTCTAGTATACAAACTACTAGTGCATACTGACACGCCAAAAGCCTAGGTACAGGTAATTGACACATTTTTACGCAGCCGAAGCTTCTTTGTTTCAGTTGAGAGCGTGAACTCTACCATTCACTCCATTGCCGCCGGAGTACTGAAAGGCAACTGAATTTCACCAGCGCTTTACGTGACGTATACGGACATCTCCTTGAGTGACGAGCTTCTCGAAGGAGAGCGTGATGTTGTCTTCGTTTTTTTCGCCGACGATAATGCATATTTCACGACGTCGAGTCGTGTCGATGTCGATGCACATAAGATACAGCGGCTGTTGGACCGTCTCTCTAAGTAGCTTGATAAGTGGCACACCGCCGTTAACGTGGTAAAAACTGTTGTGCTACTAACTCGCCGTCAGAGAGTTTTTCTGCCGCCTCTCTATGTTCATGGTTCACTGATTAAATAGGAACTCTCAGTGCGTTACCTCGGGGTAAAGATAGATCGGTCGCTGTGGATGACGCCGCAAGTAAACCGCGCGGTCACACAGGTTAAATCCGCGCGGGTCATGCCCATAAAATGTGCATGTCTAAATAATTTGAAGAGCACACACATACACATAATACACGCGCAGAATTGCCGTGACGATCTTATAGGATAGTCTAGTTCTGCTATAGAAAGGTTACGGCAGTGCCGTGATTGTGCACAACCACGTTGTTATCGTACGGAATGCTTAAAAGCGTCTCCATATAAATGCATACATTTTGCCCTCTCATTGCATCGTGACGATAAAAATATACGACGATATAATCGTGAAGATTTACGGAAACATATAAAAATGCCCTAAGTCTGCCACAAAAACGCTTAGTGCAGTGATTATGCATGATCACGTTACTATCGTAGAGATAGTTTAAAAGCGCTATACATACGTCCATTGGGAGTTTTTATTCTTTTCCGCATGCAACTTATCAAAATGGCTAATTAACGTATGTCATAATTCGATAGAGTATTATTATACGTGACAGAAAAAAGGCAGTAACATTAATTTTACTGCAAAAGCGAGCAAAAAAGTAATATCTTACTCGTACTTTCAATTAATGCTTTGTCTATTTGGAGAGGGGGAAGAGATTGTTAGTAATGGGGAGATTAGTCCCTATTGCTATCAATATACCCTATCAAGTCGACCTCCACACGGTTCCCCCTAAAAACTATCGTGACTAATTTATCGTTGAACTCGTTACGATGGGCTAATTAACCTGCCTTTTCATCCTTCACCTCTCACTGGTACCCTGCTAGGGTATACCGATAGCACAGGCGAAGTTACCATGCCATTTTCATCCATTAAAAATGTTTTGTCTGCTTCATTATTATGTCTGTGGTCTATATACTTAATGGTACCGTAACCTAAGACCAAGGAATTACATAAGACTGATAAAATAAAAACTGGAAATCAGATGGTTGCCTCCTTTCTTCTTATGCAAATGTGATTAGTAAAAAGAGGATGTAAGATATACAATTAGTAGCTATCTTTGGCAATTCATAGCAGGTTAGTGTATAGAAAATGTTCAATGTTTCAATTATTTGTCAATGACAAAATTAACATTACTAGATTATATATTCGACACAGTTTATGTAAAAAGTATACAGAAGAAAGGAGACAATCATATGATTTACAGTTTTATCATTCCTTCTATATAATTCCCTGTTTTTAGGATCATAACCTATCTGTGTTCGTATCTATTTCATAGGTACTATCTAAGAACAAGGAATTACATAGAAGGATAGATAAAATTGCAACTCATAGTAGGCTAAAGTATAGAAAACGTTATACAGCCGTATAACCCTACTTAATTCAGATACAACCTGCTTGCATACTTTCCACATAAACTGTGTCGAATATATAATCTAGTAATGTAAAATTGACAAATAATTGACTTATCAAACATTTTCTATACACTATCCTGCTAAGAATTGAAAAAATAGCACCTGAATGTGTATCTTTCGTCCTCTTTTTACTAATAATATTTGCATAAGAAGAAAGGAGGCAACCATATAATTTACAGTTTTTATTTTATCATTCCATGTAATTCCTTGTTCTTAGGGTACTATCTTTAATCTACGTATGTAAATGTCAAAATGTCAAATAGATGCAGTGTGCCCATTTGTGGCAGATTCGTGCTATTTTGGCAAGTTTCGCCCCTAAATATTGTCTGTGGCAGATCATGCTGATGATTTACAAAAGTGGCAGATTTTGGCAGATTTAAAATTCTACGGTGGTAAAAATCAGCAGCAGGTATCAATCTTAACAATTCCTCAGAACACTCCCCATGATAAATTCGGATTCAGAAGATGCACAAAGATGTATTATCTCTACGCAGCCGCGGTAAGGATAATGTTTTAAAGCCTTTTTCTTAATTATTGATGAGATTACAGATTTTACAACTACTTCGATGCTTGCAGTTGTAACAAATATTATTCTAGAAAAGATCTCCAAGTAAAAACAAAATTTTTAACTTTGGTCGACTTGAACGGTGTTGACGCGTAATCATTGTTTGATGCACTTTTTGGGGCTTTGAACTAATGCTAAACTTAATATTGTATATTGTAGTATTGTTTCAAAAATAATACATGTAAATCCACATAGTATGTTTATTAAGTGTGTCTGCCATTCTACCGCTTTGTGTGTATCACACGCTAGTAAAAATACCATACCACGGGCTATTAACCAAATAGTACAGGAATTTTACGGATATTTTTCACATAGTAGAAAACACAAAGAGAATTGGTCGAATATTAAAATTTCATTGGCATTGAAAAACATAAAATATTAAGGCATTACGAAATTTGCTGGATATGTTTACAAGCTTGAATTTTAGAGCAAGAACACCTTTAGACATTTTTTCAGCCGCAATTTTTGGAAGACAGAAATACTTCATCAGAACTCTTGTTCAATAGTTTGAATGACAAGATATTTAAATAGTTTTTTTTATGCCCCGGATATATAGCAAATACTCAACAAACTTAAATATTATATTTCAAGGAGATTACAAAACAGTCCACATCGTATTCAAAGACATTTCTGAAGTGTATACTTGCCTTTTGAGTTGTTACGTGAAAGAAAATTATTTGAAAAACACACATCCACTTTCAATTGATCCAAAATCCGTGAACTGAAAGATATTTATTTAGAAATTAACGTGAACACTGAAATCGATCGCTGGAATTCAATCATTCCTTCAAAGAATGCAAACATTTCTGATTGAACTTTATACTCAATTAAAGACACGTTTACCACGGAGCAATATTTTCAAAGATTTACAATTCTTGGATGGATGGTTTACAAAGATATTGCGTCAACTTTAGACGTTACGTAGAATTTTTCCAACTTAGTTGATAAAAACAACATTCAAAAAGTTGATAACTTGAACTAATGAAATTTGATAAAAGTGTAAGAGATTTATTAGAATCAGGAGGAAGTAGCACTACCAGTACAATTTTGAGTGTAGACAAATATTGGGGAGCGATTTGAAAAATCCAGGACGCGTATAGGATTACAAAATATCCAAATATTACAAATTTGCGAAAGCTTTATTATGTTTGCCCATGTCAAACGCTTCGTGCAAAAATATATTCTCTCAGGTGAATCTAAATAAAACAAAAATAAGTAATAGGTTCTTAATCCAAAATGTTTCAACTGTAATTATGACAAAAGAGGAGATAAAGGACCACGGAGACTGTATCTCCTTTAAACCAACTTAAAACACAATCAAAAAAATGTCTTCAAAATGTATGTACATACTTGAAAAATGAAGACAAAAATTTGGAGGCAAATATTGATACATAGAATAAATATTAGGTCCTTATATATTAAATTGTCGTTTTGTACGAGAGGAAAATCAATTTTATTGTGTAAAATATATTTAATTAATCAAAGTATGCGCCGTTGTTATCTATGCACTTTTACTATCTCATAGGTAGTTCATTGATCTCTTTACTAAAAAAAAAAACCAGACGAGATACAATAAACTCTTTGAAGGCGGTTTGGACTGTCGCATTGGATTGAATTCTTTTCCTTGTAAGAACAACGTTGTCGTAAAGCAGCAGTGGCCTAGAGCAATTGACCAATCTCGATTGTTAAGCAGCTAGTTCTTCCTTCATGGTTTGCAGTTGCTGATAATAGATATCTGCCGTAATCGTTTGGCCAGATTTTAGAAAGCTGTAATGAACGACACCGGCGCTAGTCTTTCAAACACTCACAAGTAACTTTTTCTGAGTGAATTTTCGTTTAGGGCAGGATTTAGCAGGGTCTCCAGGGTTCAGCCATTGCGACGAGCGCTTCCGATTATCGTACAGTATCCACTTTTCATCACAAGTAATAATTCGATTTAAAATCCCTTCATTATCGTGTCAGTTGAGCAAAGTAACACAGCAGTCGACGCGTGTTTGCAAGTTCGATTTACTCAATTCATAAGTTTTTTTTCACCCATCGTTCAAGTTTTTTTTTATTATCCTGATTTGCTTCATGCGGATTAATATAGTTTTATCACTTACCCCGAAGCCTGCAACTGGATGGATCTGCTTCCACAGTAGCCTTTAATTCTTTATTTTCCATTTTTGAAGGTCGAAATTTCCAGAACGAAAACGTTGAAATCAAAAACGTATCGTGCTTTCTTTTGCAACACCAGTGTCGAACACATTTCTTCGAGTTGTTTCTGCAGCACTGGTGCCACAGTAGAACTCGTTCTCGTAAATATACCGTTATTTCATGTTTTCCATAGTACTGTAATAAGCAACGCCAAGGAAAAAAATGAGGAAAAACAAATGAATGACTGTTTTCATAACTCAAACGTACCAGCTAAATGGATTTATAAATTTTAATTTGGAATTCTTAACCAAAGGAAACATTTCAGATCAAAGTGGTCAGTACTACAAAACGTTAATTTCGTATGTAAAGACCTAATATTTTTGTTGATTAAAAGAAATTCCATTGAATTCCATGTCTATTTTTTTCCATTTCCTTGTAGATATATTATTGGTATTTTTGACGATAAGAGTGGCACATTTTGGCAAAATTTTTGCCTTGTCTGTGGCAAATTCACTATTAATGAGATGGTCACATTGAATAGATGTCATTGTAATTGTCAAATTTTATATTTTATAGTATTTGCATTGCGTTCTTCATTTATTACATTCTCAAATTTTGTTTAACTTAAATTGTCTCAAGACTTATTTTCGTATAAATAAATGGAGTGAAACGTATATTTGAAAATATTTTGTACCTCTTGATTGCTAGTGAGTATTTAAATGTTATTGAACGTAATTTTGTGACAAAAAGAAATGACTGTTAATTTTTTTATATTATCAAAAAATCGTGAATGCCACAAGTACAATTGTTAGTTGGTGGCGTATGGAGAATAAAATGGGTGATTTGTATATAGCCGTCGTCTGCTCTTCGAATATGAACCGAAGTATGGAAGCTCATGCATTCCTCGTCAAAAAGGGTTTCAAAGTGAAATCATTTGGCACAGGCGAGAAAGTTAAATTGCCAGGACCTTCGGCTGATCGACCCAATTGCTATGAATTCGGTATCCCATATGACGATATATATAATGATTTGTTAGAAAAAGATAAGGCATACTACACTCAAAATGGTTTACTTCATATGTTAGACAGAAACAGAAGAATCAAACCCTGTCCAGAAAAGTTTCAAGTGTCCACAGAAAGATTTGATGTAGTTATAACATGTGAGGAAAGAGTGTATGATCAGGTTATAGAGTGGTTTGGTTCAAGAAGATCAGTTCATAACCAACCAGTACATGTTATCAATATTGACATTCAAGATAACCATGAGGAGGCCACTATTGGTGCATTTTTGATTAGTGACATGGTTGCAAAAATGGCCTTAAGTGAAGATTTAGACAATGATATTGATGAATTGTTACATGATTTCGAAGCAAAGTGCCACAGACCAATTTTGAACTGTATTATGTTTTATTGATATATGTACATATATATATTAAAAGTGAATGGAAGGATGATTAGTAAGATTCTCAGGCAGCACTGCAACATGGAATCTGCTATTGAGAGCAGATTTTATTAGTATTCATGAAGTTTATAAAGTGAAATGTAGGTACAATATACCTAGAAATACTTAACAGACTGATAAAAATTTATTGATATAAACATGACTAATGTAAATGAAATGGATTATTACAATGTATTATCCCTTGTGGCTAAAGCTTTAGTTATTATTTGAAAATAAATGCTTTTTTCATAAATATGTAGTTTTATTTTCAGAAGGATTACTTACATATATTATACTTATTCATATAATTAATAATTTACTATAATTAAATGTAAGTCATTATGTGGAAACTATAGATGCGCATTGAATGCACTTACACTAAACCACTACCTAAAGTAAATAAGTGCTTATGTAAACATGACTTCACTTTTATACAGAACATTTTTTTTATCTAAGTAATGGCAAACAAGCTGACAACCCACATGATGGAACATGGTAACTGTCACCTATAGAATGAGCAATACCATGGACTTAACAGAATATACTGTTTTGGCCTTGCCCCTATGTGTTGCCATTCCTGAGGACTTGGGTGTTATTCCTCTGTATCCTGTAAACTTATTGCCATATACCACCCTTCAAACCAAAACAAAGCCATTCAAACTGCTTCACTGTAGAAACACGAATGGGCCATAGGTGCCCAAGCAAATGACTTTTGCACAAAGTCTCCCTTTGGTAAATATAGGATAAGAGTATTCTGAACATGTTTGCATATAAATTAGATGGTTCTCTGGTATTTATACTTACAAAAAGAACTAGGTCATTATTAGTGATTAAATACTAATAAACATAATTTTTAAGTACACATTAACAAAATGGATTCAAAGTTGTCTAAATAAAAACAATAAACAATTTCTGATAGACAACTGCATCAAACAAATATATCAAAATAGAATAATAATGTCATATTTTCAAATATATATCAAATAATATTGATCTCAGCAAAATTTATCAAAGCATACAAGGTTGGCATTAGTTTTTTTTTAGTGGATGATACTGGAATGGTAAACCCGCCTGCGCTAACATAGCTGGCGGGGCACCAGTGAGGGATAATAAGTAAGAATGAAAAGGCTGGTCAGTTATCCCATCGTGATGAATACATTTGAAATTCGGCAGGATAGTTTCCAGGAGGGATTATATGGAGGTCTATATAACAGGGTATATTGCTAGCAATGAGACTGGTAGCTTGCATTACTAACAATCCCTTCCCCTCAGGTGGTGTTATTAGGAACCATCTATACATTATGATATTGACTTTTGCAGATTTTCGACTCTTCTCCCTTCCCACAGTCACATCATTCCTCTTACAAGGTGATTACTTGCGCTAAGGTTATTAACATTAAAGATGCATACTCAAAACGACCATGGCAACAAACATGGCAACGCAACGTTAATGCATTGTACGATGACCCTCTTAGATGGAGTGACGACCTCAAATGCATTGCAGAGAGTCAGTGGATGCAGGTGGCTCAGGAGCGTTTATTATAGCAATATATGGCTTATATCCAGCAGTGGACAGATAGTGGTTGAAATGATGATGATGTTAATATAAAAGTTATGGCGGCGAAAAAGTAAACAAGATTCATTATTTTTTATGCTTTATTTGAATATATTTGTCTACATAATTTCGCTTAAAATATATTATTTTTATTTCAAACCTCTTCATATTAACTCTTTAAATATGTCATCTTTCAACTCATAATATCTGTTCAACCTTATTTCAGCATATCTGAAAAAATAAAAAAATATATACATAATATTGTTTATGGAGCAGCCAAAGAAAAGGTGGTATTTTTTTTATGTTTTCATAGTAATTTACAGCCATAAGAAAGTCTATAGGAAATTAATTACTCATATGTTACAACTCAGATTTTGTCATTTATTTTATACTTATTATAACTACTAGCTTGCGTCTGCGACATCGTATGCGTGTTTACAAAGTAGGTCACAGAAGAATAAAACCAATGAAATAGTCACTTCTACACGGCGTATCGAGATAAAACTTATATAAGTTACATTGGATCTTTTGGAATACAATTGTGTAAACCACATCGAATGTAACGATAAATTTTACGTATATATATATATATATATATATATATATATATATATATATATATATATATATATATATATATATATATATAATATAATGTAAAGAATCTATTGAAACTATAGATAAAATAATAATATATATTATTGAGTGAAGTATTTAGTCTATAATGGTACCTAAAAATAGCTTAATTTATGGTCGTTTTGAGTACGCGTCCTTAAGGGTTTTGTAGTTAAGTTATATTTTAGGTTTTTTTTTTCACTAAATGTTCTCCTGTAACCATAAATATGAAAATTATGCGATTTAGTTCATCCGTTTTCACAGTTTAAAATTTGTTTTTATTTATGACGCATAGTTTTCGATTTATGAAACTTAGAAATGCAAAAAAAAAATATTGAATATTAAAATGTAAAATTGTTTGTCACATTATACCAATAAAAATTAACGAGTCATACAGAGATAATGAGAGATCTTATAAAACTGTAAACCATCACGTATTATAATTTCGATGCAAGAATATCCAACTCACCTTCCGAAATCAAAGTCTATGTCCGATAATTCGAACTGTACAAGTGACCACACACCCCACAAAAAATGGGATGCCAGAGCATGCTGCTGCACCTCTGTGTAAAGTTTTTCTATATCTGACTCGTTTGGAGTGACTCCATCCCAATATTCGGTCAAATATACCTTTATCCATGACGTCTGAAATTCTTTATTTGGGTATCGCTTGTAGTCTATATCGTCAATGGAAAGACCTAAAATAATAATTAACAGATTATAATCTGTAACAATAGTCGGCACAATATACCTAGTACCTAATGTTGTTGTTCTTCAAAAAACGATATTTTTTTTAACATTTTTTTACGTCTTAATGGTCGAACTATAAAATTGACGAAATTGCAGCGAAAAATAATCAATATTTCGTATCTAAAACCATATTAAGCGAAAGTCTTGCACTCCCTCGTGTTGCCTCCCCGTTTTCTTTAAAAAAAAGGTCTATTATTATATATATAGGCAATTTTTTTTAATGGGTGATAATGGAATGGTAACCCCACCTACGCTATCGGTATACACCGGCGGGGCACCAATGAAGGATGATAGGCGAGGATAAAGCAGGTCAGTTAGCCCATCGTGACAAATTCAACAAGAATTGTTCACGATGGTGTCCAGAACGAACCACGTGGAGGTAGACCTAATAGGGCATATTGCTAGCAATAGGGCTGTCAAACTCCATTGCTAACAATCCTATTCCCCCAATAATAGATCATTAGAAATATAAAATAAATAATAATTATCATGATTTAATATGCATTAAATGTAACGTTGTAGCAGATGTTAGTTTAAATTAGGATTTTTACATAACTGTAATAAAATACTAAACTGTATTTATTATTTTTATAAAGGATGCAATAAAGTATATATTATATTGTAATCGTTTTACATATTTTTGTCTGTAATTATAATCTATTTCAGGTACAATAATATGTTAGGTACTTACCAACAAATTCGTTAAAATGATTCGCGATGTCAAATGCTTGATAATTATATGCCGCATATTCAAAATCAATAAAAGCTATGGTCCCTTCACGTTGATTGTAGATCACGTTTCCTAGAAGCAAATCATTGTGAGCAAACACAATTGGGCTCTCAGTTTTGTTTAAGTGTGATTTTAGGCGCTCAAACTCTATCCTTAGTCTTGTTATCGACCCAAAACTACTGGCAAATCTACAACAGAAATGGATAAACTCTTCGTAAGTATTGATAAAATAACTAGTTATTATATAAAAAAAAAAAAAAAAACAGGTACAATATGATGCTCTACCCAATTACCGTCAGCAGAGATCGTTTAGATTTTTTTTTATTTCGAATAACAGAATACTCTCCGTAAGACGAAGATGAAGGCAGATACTTATTCGACTGAATAGAGTATTACTTTAACTGTATGTTAATACAGATTGTCCCATCCAAGGGACGATAATTATAATGATTTTTGTAAATGTACAAAAGTTATACCTATAACGACAGGTCGTGTTATTTGTAATAATGTATTTTTTAGTAAAATCAAACCATAACGTATAAGTTTAATACGAGAAATCCTTCAGAAATTTTAATTTAAATTCCTTTTAAAAAAACAGACCTGTTTTGTTTATTTACATCTGTAAATGGTACTGGAAGTAAACTGAGAAATTGTTCTATTTTATCCCATACAACTGCATCTTGTTTTATCTGTAACAAAATGTATAAAAGGTGTAGTAAAAAACGAAACATTCCTTAACGTATATGTTAGTGACAATAATTTTTTATATCATCATCATTCTATAACAACGATCAATATATCGGTCACTGTCTTTAAATGAAAGATATATAAGTAAAACTATTATAGGGGGGCTATGCGATAGGCTATTATATGTAATAGATTCCAAAAAAATGATTTTTAGAATTTTTGTCTGTTTATCTATACGAAAAAGTTATATCAATCTAAAGAATCATATATAAAATGCTATAAAATAACCGATCAGATGAATTGGCTGGAATTTTATGAAGGTATTTAGGTACATAATTATCACTTAAATATATAATACAGTATAAGACCGGATTCATGAATGGGAATGATATACGGAAATTATATAGTTAAAAGCGGGAAACAGCTAGTTTATAAATATATTTATTTATTATGTGAGTGCAATTAGCAATTGACCGGTTTTATTTGTGAACCCATAATTTTGTCATAATTATATATAAAAATATCAAGATTGCACTATTGTGGTCTATTTTATTCAATGTAAATTTCATTCGAATCCATAAATTTTTTATAAAATAATTCATAATAGGTAATGGTAAAAGTGAAATTATCACAGATGTCTTATACTCGGGTCTTATTACATTGCATTAACATATAAAAAACAAGAATAAAATTAAACAACGTTAAACGATATAATCTTCACTGTAATATACTATATGTTTAATTAACAAGAATCAACTTTCATCTAGAACAAAATGGGATGACAATTTCCATTAGTTAGTGTTTGTATAATATATTATTATATTCTTGTAGTTAATACATTATTTGTAAGAGGTTAAAATACGAGTATAAAATGATAAGATGCAAACACAAGACACGAAATATTTACTATTTGCGTGTGTATTATATTATCTACTTAGATTACTCGTCTTCTATTAATTTTTTAGATGTAAGTAGCTAACTAATATAAATAGAAAAATAATTATATAAACATGATAATTTATTCGTATGCTTATGATTAAAATTCACATTTTTAATCAATATTAAGAAAGAAGGAGATAGGTATTTAAGTCGTGCAGTGTCGACTCACGCCCTTGGGTAAAAAATATTTTGAAATAATAATGGTTCAAAATAAAAAAAAATAATACTACTTGTAATAACAATATTTAAGCAATAACAATAATTACTAAGCGTCTATTTCATATAAGAATAATAATGTCGTCATAATAATATTGTTTCATATATACATATTCAAATAACAATGTCCTGTATATATAATTTTTTTATGTAAAGAAAACAAAAATCTATTTACAGATTATGTATGAGTTTGTAAGTGATCGGTAGAGTGAATTAGTTACCGATTTGACCGTTTTAAGATCATAATGGAAGGTAACCATGACCTGCAGTAACGGTATTTTCGGTATTCATTGGTGGGGTACTAGAGAGGGATATTTATTGAAAATGAAGTCAGGTCAGTCGGCCTATTATGACAGATTTATTAGGAATTAACCATCGTAGTTTTCAGGGGGGGTCGCGTGGAGGTCGATTGTTAGGATATAATGCCAGCAATAGGGTAGCTAAATTCTCTTACTAGCAATCCCATTCTCACACTTTTTATATACAATATACAACTCGTACATAACATAGGTATCTAAATAGCTTTTTAACACAATAATGTTCATGTGATCGGTGTTATTTGATGGTAGATTATTCTATCAAACAAAGGGAAGTAGACAATAAAGCAATTTATCATATTATACTACTCATTGAAAGTTTTTTAGTATAGGATTTCATAAAATGGATACTAACTTTATCTTATGATACTATATCTGGATAAACATCAATCATAAATTGTCCTGCGACTCCCTCGAAATTAAAATTGTCTACTCAGAACATGCTCCTTTTATGTAACAACAAAACAACGTGATTACATATATACCATTATTCGTGGTTTTTAAATTCTATTATCGTGTGAAAAAACATTTTAATTAACCTCTCCGTAAATTAAAGGTCTGGAATTCAGTGACGAAAACATCGTCATTAAATTCTAGACTACCACATTCTTTATTGGTTCGATCGACTCTACTAATTGTACTCGTAATAACCAGTTTTATATTAGCCTAATACTTGTATTTAATCTATTATGAAATCACGTTAAACTCCATTCGACTATTCAGTGTAACAAACAGAGAAAAATCAATAATAAAAATTATCCATATTATGTGTTGTCTTGCTTATTTTTTTTTTCTTAGGTAATTTTCGCGGAAAAAAACTTAATATAGTTAGACAGTTCGACATTTACGATTACATATAGTAGGTAGGTATAGATAAAGACTAGCTGACGCGAGGTCGAGTGCCTCGTGACTTCGTCGACGTGCGATGCAGAAAAACGTAATGTTCTGATAGTATTTAAAGAGCATCTACGAAGGTTTTTCAGACATTATGATTCCGTAACAAAGTTTAAGGTCGATCTTAATAAGCATATACATACCATACAATACATTTCTATATAATTCATTATAACATGTATAATATTTATTTTTAATAAAGATAGTGAAACAAAGTTTAGCTGACGCACTCAAAATTGTTTAATAATTCATTAGGGCCTTAACGGTAATTACTAATTTCGTTAATACGTCAATATACAATTTCAATTATCATTAACTAATACCTCATTAGTGTTAATTTAATGAGCTTCTCTAAGTACCACAGTAAGTATTTTAAATAATATTAGGTATATTATGGCATTTCTCTAGAAACTGAATACTCATACATACAAAGTTATCCCAACCATATTTTTGTTAAAAATTAAGAAACGACGTATATTTGTAGGTAGCTACAAGCGACATTAGTAATTTATTTTCATTTTGCGAGTTATATGCGATTTAAATTACATTTTTGACGAAGGGCTGTGCAATGAAAAATACATTTCTATCAATTGTAACTAATGAAAGTGTTTTTATTTCCCATCACTCAAATGTAAAGTTTTTTATATGATTATCAAAAAAAGTTTCAAATAAAGTTTTTTATATGAAGAAGACTTTATCTTTTAAATAAAATTACGAAGTGAAATATATTAGGATAATTTTTCTTATTCCTGTAGCACAATATTTGATTCGGTAAATAAAATTAAATACAACAATTAATTAATGACTTAAGATATAACTAGGGTGTTAATCTTTATAATTTATATCTAGAAATATCTTAAACATTGGGCTTCTTTGCCATAAAATGCACTGAAGACTGTGTTTCATGATTTGATACTTTTTGTGTAAAAAATAGTATAAAATCATTTAAAATTTTGTTCAATATTATAGTGTGTTAGTTTCCCCTGAACGATTACTCTATACAATCATTATAATTTAATTACTGAAAAGTCACCAGAGGAATAAGTGGTTCAGGTACAAGGACAATGAATAAAATGTCATCATTCATTTAACTTTGCTTCCTAACATATTTTATACCATTTTTGTTCTATTACAGATCATAACTAATATCCATAGTGAATAGTTTTAGATGCGATTTTCAAATTGTGCTAGGGGAGTGTACAAAAATTGTGCTGACAATATTCAAGTGACAATTTTTTAAATGAAAAATGTATTTAAAATTATTATTGTATTTTATAGACATGGTATCTATATTCTTATTATATTTTTATATTTATTATTATTATATTATAAATATTTGTATTTATAATAAATTTACTATTGTAATCTTATGGAAAAAAAAAACAATAAAGGGTATCTATTTATCTTAATAAAGAATAAACATTGATAGTAAGTCTTGTTATTCTGGAAATGTTTTATACCAGAATTATTTTGTAAGAATTTACAAATAAAAGGAGCTTGACCCTGTTTAGAGTAGTAAGCATATTATCATTATTAAAACAAAAACTAAGTATTACCAAATAATTAAAGTGTGCTTGGGGTAATGATAGGGATTGTTAGTAATGGGACCTAACAACCCCACTACTAACTTACTAATAAAATATATTAGGTCGACCTCCACACAGTTCTCCCTGGAAACCATTGTGGTTAATTTTTCTGGAATTTGCCATGATGGGTTAACTGACCTTCTTTCATCCTCATCTATCATCCCTCATCAGCATATACCGATAGCGTAGATAAGGTATCATTCCATTCTTACCCATTAAAAAAATTATTTTTCAGTGTCTTTACACACTGAAAAGTTATTTTATTTAATGTATTTCTTTAATATTGATGGTGTTGATTTTAGTGACACTTGTTATGAGTTTATAACATACTACAAAAATTGTCAAAGGACATTTTGTGCAATATATTTTTGAACAGGACTCATATTAGTTAATGATTTAAATATATGGTGAATGGTGTATACATACATCATCTCCTAGTTTAACTTTGTGCATTTTTGCCATATGCTGCGCTACTAATGGCCATATTTTGACATCCAGCACAGTATCTATATTGAGAGTTACTCCAGGGTAATATTGATATGCTAAACCATTTTCAAATATACCATATACTTTAGGTGCTAATCCAAGAACATTTAATGTTTTAATGTTTCTGAAACAAAAACCAAAGATAAATAAAAATATGCATAACTTATATTAAATATATAATTAATTATTATAATAAATAATGATTTCATTTACCTATTGTACATATATGGATATTATATAATCAGAAATTTGAATTAATAAAAAAATATTTACTTAATTTATTGTAAATAAATAATCTTTATATTTACAATACAATAATTACATATAAGTTATGATCATTAAATAATGTTTGCAGGTCAGCAGTGAATATAGAAATAATTAATTTACAATAAAGTAGGTCACATGTAATTTTAGATTTTGTATGGTCATTAAACATATTATACAAAACAAATAATAATAATTTACCTGATTTCAGCATTTCTATCAATGAGTAAGTCAGTTTTATTTCCATATATACGAACCAGGATTATTTCATTCTCATCATTTAATGTTGAGTCCAACTGACATGCTACTAATTTATTTGTGATGCCATCTGTAAATGTCTGAAAACATTTAGGATACTATATATTGTTTTTGTAATTAGATTTTAGACAAGTAAATTATAAGAAGCAACTAATTGATAATATGTATAAAAATAATATTTCTACATACAGAAATTATTTTAATGATTTAGGTGTTATTTTGTGAAAGTCTATATCACTGGCTACTTAATTAATAATAGGTAGTTAGTTAATTTTAGTCAATTAACTAATGATACAGAAATTGATTCCTGATATGCTATTTTCTAAATGTCCAAAAAAGTTAGCAATAGTGGCCAAGTAAGCTATATCTAACCTATTGTATGAAATCATTAAAATGCCAATGCTGACCACAGGCCTCATTCAAGAGAAAAATATTAGCCTACTATTATTATTATAATATTATTTTAACAATTTGCTGAGGAAGGAAACATTTTTTTTTTATTATAGTCACCAAGATTGTTTGTAATCTATAAGTGTGATTGGGCTGACAATAAACATTTTATTATTTGAAATATTTTAATATTTAATGATGGGATATGTTGACTCCAATTATTTGAAAAAAAAAAAAAAAAAACAGAACAAAAAAAAAAAAAAAATCAATTATTTATGAAGAATGATTAGTAACGAAATTCAAAGTATTTATACTTTGAACAGTTTATAGATGAAACATGTATATGATAAATAAATGTATGTATCAATTAATGATATGGAAATAAGAATATTAAGATTCAAGGCAAAGTATGAAAATATAGTAACAACTAGGTCATGTGTAATATTTTTATGAGTGAAAATGTAATGGCAATTCTGCCAGCGTTATTTGTATATACTAGCATATGGAAAAAATAATGGGCATTAAACAAATACATTTACCACAAATCTAACATTTTGTTACTACAAGATTATGCCACTATTATTCTAAACAAATAGATAAAGTTATCCACCTAATTTAAATTATAAAAGCGAGTTCAATGTGTTATTCTTAGTCATTTGTTCCCAGTGTCCACTGCTTTTTAAGCTATCACAAATAAGTATTGCTACAAAGAGATAATTAACACGAATAGTCACGATAAAGATATCCAGACCTTGAAAGTAATATTATTAGATATCCAATTTGGCCGTATAACTTTTAGAAAATTTAAAATGCCTCCATATAAATCATTTTCTTCTATTTTAACAGGTACAAATGTATCGCCAGCCGGGAGACAAATTAATGACATTGTTCACTTTGTAATAAATTTATTTGCTTTTTGCTAGATCAGGCTATGTAATCGGCCGTCGGGACACAATCTTACTAATAAAAACATTTCGTATGCGTAGCATTTATACTCAATTTTATAATCATACAATATGTAATCAAAAGACACAGACAACCTGTTATTTGTAATCTCTTCCAGTTGACATTTGGCATTTAGAATTGACATTGACAGATTAAATTTTTCTCCATATTTTACTGACTTGGAATGCGACTTTTAAATCAACATTGACATACACCAAAAAAGAAACGTACCTAGGTAAAAGGAATGCAAGAAAACGAAACGAAAAGGCAAAAATAAATGATAATAGATAATATAGTATTTACGATATTGTAGTATACGAAACTCTTTACAAATACTGGTTTGTTTTTCTATTATTGACTTAAGATTGTGACATTCCTTTTCTAACTACCATTGTCTGTAATAATACCAATGTATCGTTATTTTTAATTGAATTAAACCAATATTTCCCTATGGTCTATATCGTTTTGTATCAATTAATTCAACTAATAAAATACAACTAATTATGTCAAGAAAAAGCCGTAACAAGAAATTTGAATCCGAGATGATATCGTCAACTCCAGGGCCGGCTTCAACAAGTTTGTCGCGTTACCTACGGCTGGAAAGATTTGAGTTAGATCCAAGCTCTACCGATGCTGATTTAGAATGGACACATTGGATATATACATTCGATAATTTTTTGTCAGAAAGTATTGGTGAGTTTACGGAGGAGCATAAATTAAAAATCTTGATTAATCACTTATCTCCCAGCGTTTATGTGTACATAAAAGAATGTAATGATTATGAGTCAGCTATTTCAATTCTAAATAATACTTACATTAAACAAAAAAATGAAATACATGCACGTCATATCCTTGGCACTCGAAAGCAGCGCAGTGATGAATCTATAGATCAATACTTGCGCCAACTTAAGCTTCTTGCTCAAAAATGCTATTTCAAAGATGTTAAAGCTGAACAATATCGATCTGAATATATTAGAGATGCATTTATTGCTGGTATTTCCTCACAAAAAATTCGCCAACGTTTATTAGAAAATTTTGAACTCTCACTTGATCAAGCTTTCAATCAAGCAATTTCACTCGAGATGGCAGAAATTAATTCCCTAGCTTACAATGGTAATTCTTTGCCCCTTAATTCTGCTGATGCCGTTATTTCATCTAATTCACAAAAGAAAACTCAAATATGTTCCCTGAACAACAACGATGTATCTACTGTACGAGATAATTTGGCTGAATCTACTTTAGCTGCTGCTTCAAATAAAAGAAGATGTTTCTTCTGTGGTAGTAATGTAATTCATCAGCGAATAAAATGTCCAGCTTTAAATAGTACTTGTCAGATTTGTTCTAAAAAGGGACATTTTGCTAATGTTTGCCGAAGTAAACAAACTATGAATGCTGCTGTAACAAACGAAAATGATACTAATTATTCTGTGGAGGTTGCTGCTATATCAGCAGCTTCTTTACCAAGTCTACATAAGGCAACTGTACCCGTTATTATTAATAATTATCGTGCCGAAGCTCTTATCGATACTGGAAGCTCGATAAGTTTCATAAATGAAGAATTGGCGCAACTCTTGAAATTGAGACAGAAACCTTGTCAGCAAATTATTACTCTAGCTTCACTTAATCATACATCTCCAGTCACCTGTTACTGTAATGCTACTATACAATTATATAATCACTCTTACAGCAATGCCAAGTTACTAGTTGTACGTAACTTATGCACTGACATTATTTTAGGTCATGATTTGCTTAAAAATCACCATTCTTTAGAACTCCAGTTCGGAGGTCCCAGAGATTCTTTGAAGATATGCAATGTTATGGCTGCAAATTTACCTAACGCAACTCTATTTTCAAATTTGTCGCCTAATATCAAACCTGTGGCAATAAAATCAAGGCGCTATAATGATGATGACCAAAAATTCATTTCTGAAGAAATTCAAAAGCTATTAAAAGATGGAATTATAGAGCCAAGTATGTCATCTTGGCGAGCACAAGTCCTAGTAACTGGTGGCGGTACGCATCGAAAACGTCTTGTTATTGACTATTCACGAACGATAAACAAATTTACAGAACTTGATGCGTATCCATTGCCGAACATTGAATTTCTTGTATCTAAAATTGCTCAGAATAAATATTTTAGCCAAATAGACCTTAAAAGTGCTTACCATCAAGTGCCGATTCTGCAAAAGGAAAGACCTTATACAGCATTTGAAGCATGTGGTAAATTATATCAATTTACACGTATACCTTTTGGAGTTACAAATGGCGTATCAGCATTCCAAAGAACGATGCAATATATTATTGATAATGAAAATCTTACAGATACTTATGCTTACTTAGACGATGTCACTGTTTGTGGAAAGGATAAACTTACCCATGATGCTAACTTAGCCAAATTTATGACAGCAGTAGAAAAATATAAAATTACTTTAAATAAAGATAAATGCAAGTTTGGCTCTGAGTCTATTAACTTATTGGGTTATACTATAGAGAATAACACTGTAAAGCCTGATAAAGAGCGTCTTAAACCATTACTTTCTATGCCTGCACCTACAGACTTATCTTCCTTGAAGAAAATATTAGGTATGTTTGCACATTTTTCTAGATGGATAAACAATTATTCAGAGAAAATAAGTCCTTTAATAACGAATAACTCATTTCCTTTATCACATGAGGCAAGCGAATCATTTGAAAGTATCAAGAAAGATATTGCAAATGCAGCTTTGGTAGCAATTGACGACACACAAATGTTCACTGTCGAAACAGATGCTTCTGATCATGCTTTGGCAGCAACGCTTTCGCAAAATGGACGCCCTGTAGCATTTTTTTCCCGATCCTTAACAGATTCTGAAAGAAACCATTCGTCAATAGAGAAGGAAGCATCAGCGATTGTTGAAAGTCTACGTAAATGGCGTCATCATTTAATTGGAAAACATTTTCTTTTAATAACTGATCAACAATCTGTCTCTTTTATGTTCAATCAGAAGCATACAAGTAAAATTAAGAATGAAAAAATAGAGAGATGGAGACTGGAACTGTCTTGTTTTAAATTTGATATTGTCTATCGACCTGGTAGACAAAATATAGTATCAGATGCATTATCAAGAGTTTGTGCTAGTACATTTTCACGTAAAAATTTATATCAACTGCACAATACTCTATGCCATCCAGGAATCACAAGAATGGCTCATTGGGTGCGTTCTAAAAATTTGCCCTATTCTCTTGTAGAGATTAAAGACATGACTGCGAGTTGTCCTATTTGTGCCGAGATAAAACCTAGATTTGCAAATAGCAAAGGACGACTTATCAAAGCTACTTCTCCATTTGAAAGACTCAGTTTAGACTTTAAAGGACCATTACCTTCGAATACTGAAAATAAATATATATTAACTATTGTTGATGAATTTTCTCGTTTTCCATTTGCTTACCCGTGTAAAGACGTATCATCAGGAACTGTCATAACGTGTTTAAAGGACCTCTTCTTTACTTTTGGAACGCCTCTATATATTCATTCAGATCGTGGTGCTGGATTTATGTCACAAGAATTTAAAGATTTCCTACTAAGAAATAATATTGCTTGTAGTCGAACTACACCTTACAATCCGGAAGGAAATGGTCAAGTTGAGCGATTGAATGGGACACTGTGGAGAACCATCCAATTATCTTTAAGATCCAAGAACCTTGACATACGATATTGGGAACAGGTACTACCTCTAGCATTACATTCCATACGCTCTTTGTTATGTACTGCTACGAATGCAACTCCACATGATAAGTTGTTATGTTTCCCCAGACGATCTGGTAATGGAATTTCTTTACCTTCGTGGTTAATGATTCCTGGCCCAATACTTTTGAAGAAAAACGTAAGAAAAAGTAAATATGATCCTCTAGTAGAAGAAGTCGAATTGCTAGAATCCAACCCAAATTATTCTTTAGTACGTTTTGCTGATGGACGAGAGGATACTGTATCTAATAGACATCTTGCCCCAATTAATAGATTAGTTGGAGATATAGCTAACACTGACGAAATTGAGAACTCCGATCGATCTCGAACCGATACAGATACCGAGAGCTACAACACCACGACTGAAACCGACAATTTGAATGCTGATGGCACTGGGCCTTCAATGGTGGTCGATTCGTCTCAGCGGCTTATTCGTGAAAGAAGACCACCCGCTTATTTAGGGGATTATGAATTATAATAACTTAGGTTTTTTAAAAAAGGATGGGTGAATGTAGTATACGAAACTCTTTACAAATACTGGTTTGTTTTTCTATTATTGACTTAAGATTGTGACATTCCTTTTCTAACTACCATTGTCTGTAATAATACCAATGTATCGTTATTTTTAGTTGAATTAAACCAATATTTCCCTATGGTCTATATCGTTTTGTATCAGATATATAGTATAGTATAATTACATAAAGTTCGCGCGGTGACAATCCCATCACTTGTTAGAGCTTTAATAATCTTAGTTTCGTCATTCGACAAATAGTCCTATTCCAAGGACGTCTGCTTTCAACGTATTTGATCGTATGTAAGTTCCCATTTTTCTTACTTTACATAAGTACTTGTTTTGGTGGAAAAACCAATTTTTAACCACTATGTTTGATCAAGATATATTTCTAAAATTTAATTTAAAATTCATTTGCAATTTTGTATTGATTAAAAACGTAATCAGTCGTTTAATGTTCACTACTGAACATAGGCCTCCCCTATTGAAGAGGTTTGCTAGTAGTTGTCATGCTTTTTAGGCAGGTTAGTAACTATAATTAGGCTTTGGTGATATTTTAAGAGAGATATGAGAGGTTGAACGATGTGTTCAACCTTTAAATTCCTTTAGTTGCCCCTTAAGACACCCGCGCGTATAGAAGGAATGCCCTATTCTATGACGATTTATAATGTACAGCTTGGTATTTTTAATGAGTAAAACTCGAAGAAACTGGCACGGCAATGATGATAGGAGGTGTGAAAGGTGAAAATGAAGTTAGTCCATCGTGTCGAATTCTGCAAGAATTAATCATGATAATTTCCGGAGGGAACCGCGTGAAAGTGGATCTGTTAGAGTACATTATTATATTATTGAAAGTGTAGTGAATTTTCTAATATTTTTTTTAGAACGCTATATACCCACGCCACTTTATTTTATTTTGACTTCATAATAATATTACAGTATAAGGTTCTTCACGAGTAGATTCCTACTGTGACAATGTTATGTTTTCTGATAAGACCGCAGATACTATCTTTAATCTATGTTTCAACTACATATCAAATAAAAATATAAAAAACAAATTATAAGCATTATAGCTACTAGCTTCGGTCGTTTTTATATGAACCTTTTTTCGTTGGGTATTTGTATTGTTTTTTAAGCAATTTAGAATTGGTGTCCTTTAATAGATCTATTTAATATATTTTTTAGGAGTAGACCCAACTATAAAATATATTAATAATTTATTTCCTAAAATGGGCAAACATTTTGGAGAATTTGCGGTAATTTGTGGTATAGTTTATCATAAACTACCATATCATGAACAGAAATCCTTTGCCGGGACTGCAGCATATGGTATTCGTAATATTCTGCCAAGAACAACAGCGACTAGACCCAATATTCTCAATATGTCACATGATTTTCTAGAAGACCCCGTAAAAGTTTTCAGTCATTATTAAAGATAAAAAAAGTCTAAAACATCGTGCTAAGACCTTGTAGAGAATTCATTCCAGTTTCTACGACCCATCGTCAATTTTCTGCGCAACAACCATTGATTTCTGAGATATCGATGAACAAAAAGAAAATGATCAATTTTTATTCAAAGTCCAATAGTTTAGCGTAAATGATCGTATCGAAACCAAAAAATAAAAACTAAATTGAAGCTATGTAAATGAATAACCTATCTAATTTTTTTTTGTTCTCTTATTTTTTTTCACTAGTATTATTGAACACAACTTATTTAAAATATTGGAGGAGAAGCGTTTTTTTTTAATGGGTGAAAATGGTATGGTAACCCCGCCTGCGCTAACGGGATACGCTGGCGGAGCACCAGTGAAGGGTGATAGATGAGAATGAAAACAGGCCAGTTAGCCCATTATGATGATCCAGGGCGAACCGCAAGGCCAACCTTTTTTTTTTATTTATTTCAAGTAAACAGTTACATAGACAGTATATATTCTAATTTCTGCGAAACTGCATTGCAGTTTGTCTGCAGCTTTGCGCTCTTGTACATACAGCTTTTTAAACAATTATAAACTTTTATTATAATTCTATATACTAAACATATCTTTATACATACATATACACAGATATACACATACATATACATACAGACACACATGCATATACTAAGTGGATGTTACTGGTATGAGTATGATGTTACTGATTGGGGACGACAAAACTTGGTCCAATTTAACCCCTCTAAGACACAAGCTTGCGCGTTCACCGCTAAAAAAACCCCATTTGCTGTGGCCCCACAGTTCCAAGGCACGTCTCTTAACATCTCTAAAAGCATTGGGATCCTTGGTGTCGACATCTCTAGTGACGTACAGTTCCGTGGCCACAAGATAAGGTGAAGCTGGCATCCAAAAAACTTTGCTCAATAGAGCGAAGCATTACTTCAATCAGCGATTAATTTTATCGCAAATCCGGCCCCATATGGAGTATTGCTGTCACTTATAGCACCTAGATACCAGCTTGAACCCTTCGACTCATTGCAACGACGAGCTATGAGAATTGTCGATTGCTTGTACAATTCTTGTTGTGCAACGGATTGTGGCCCGAGGAATTATTCAATATGATACCTACGGCCACTTTCTATCATCGTACGGTACGGAGTTCACCCTCATACTCTACAGACTAAATGGTCGCGTACAACGCGGTATACGAACACTCAGGTTATGGAATGAGCTCCCTGCCGATTTTCCCGAGAGACTACAGCATGGGGTTCTTCACTAAAGAGGTTTCTTCAGGGTCGGTAATACCTCTGGTATTGCAGGCGTTCATAGGCTACATTACCATCAGGTGGGTCGTATGCTTGTTTGCCACCTCAGTGGTATAAAAAAAAAAAGAGTATACACTCATACCAGTAACATCCATTTTTTCCACAACATTCACCATCCAAATTAAATCTAATACTGTTTTATAAAAAAAATTTTGACTTTTAAAATATTTTATCGTGACATTATTTAATAATCTTATGTTTCTCGGTAATACATTATAATATTTTGGAACTAAATATTTTTTTGTTTTTTTACCATAATAATTATTAATTTTGGGTACAATATATTCTTTGTTTTCAACTTTACGTGTGGTAAAAATTTTTTTATATTTATCCTTGTTATAGTGTTCCATTAAAATTAAAAGTTTATTTTTATCCTTTACAGATAATAACTGACATATCTTAAATAACTCTGTATACCCGCTTCGTTTACATCTTTGCTTCTTATTTTTATCAACTAAAATTTTCATAAACCTTATCTGCATATCTTTTATTTGGTTCAGGTGGGTGTCAAAAGTACAACCATAACTACCCAATCCATACGATATAATGGCATCTACAAGTGTATATTATATATAATGTTTTCTTAATAAATAACCTGGTCGGGTATATTGCTAGCAATGGGATTCTCATTCTCCATTACTAACAATCTCTTTCCCCCCGGGAAGCGATTGTTAGTAACGGGGATTGACGGTCTCATTTTTAGTAATTTACCGTTTATTCGACCTCTTAATGAATTTGTCACAATGGTGGTCGGGTGGCTTCCGGGAGTGTCAAGTGGTGTATTGAAACGTAAGGCAGCAGGATTCCGGAATCTTTAAGTAGGATTAATAAAGAATCGCATCAAACCCCCGATGACTTTTTCGTTGTCAATCAGGATAGCCGGATAAGGGCACCACCTTTACTGAGATACAGTAAAGATAGTAGCTACCTTTTTTTATATTTTCTCATAAAAAAAATGTCGAAGGTACATTAAAGCCGATCATGGGTAATTTTTTTTATGATGTTTAATAATGGAATGGTGGACCCATCGGCGCTATCGGTATACGCTGACGAGGCACCAATGAAGAATGATAGGCAAGGATGAAGACAGGTCAGTTAGCCAATGGTGATGAAATCAACTGAATTTTAGCACGATGGTTTCCAAGGGGGATATTGTTAGCAATGGGATTGGTAATCCGCATTACTAACAATCCCCTCCTCTCCCCATGGGTATACATTTATAATATTCTAAGATTTTTATTATTTATAAAATCAAAGATTGATACAGATGATGTAAATAGTATACTTCTAACCTATAAGGTACAAAAATAAGGGAGATTGTCTGGAGAAGAAAAAAATAACAAAGTTGTTGTTAAATAATTTGTTTTACTAAGCCTTTAACATTAAAATGCACAAATAACATAGCAATGGTTGAACCATATTTTGAAATGAACAACGTAGGCCAAAGAATACAGCAGTGAAATTAATTAATGTGTTGTTAACATAAATTTTAAAGTTTTTAAATAAATATACAACTTTACATGACATCTGTACTATCCAGTTCATGTTCAACTGGTGTTCCATTCTAAGTAGTTTACTATTAGGTACTGTTTTAAATTAGAATTCATATAAAGCGCGCGTAATTACAAGTTGGATAGGAACAGAAGCATCCCAAGTTTGAATTTTCAAGGAACTATCTACAATCTTGATTACGATGGCTTTGCCAATAATTATAAATTGTTAGCATTGATATTTTAAAATATAAAAATGTATAAACTTTCACTTTAATTTGAAGTGAACTGAAATTCCGAGGCTATAGTAGAAACAACACAAAAAAATTCTAATTCTCAAATTATGAGAGTTAACACCAGTGTCTTATTTCACTCTTACTTTACGTCAATGCAATGAAGAAATATCATATATTGAAAATAAAATTGATTTGTTCTACTTCACTTTATATGGGATTAATAATTACTAAATATTCTTTTTAATTAATGTATGTTTTCTATTAAAATTTTTGATCAGTGCATTATCGCAAAATAAGAATGTGAACATGCATTTTGGAATGGTATTACTGTAGAATCGAAAAAAAAAAAATCTTGAGTAATTTGCAAATTAATCGACATATGAGCCAAGTCAATTTTCTAAAAAAATTTAATTTAAATATTTGAGTTTATATGTGATGAAATAATATTTATTATGGAATTGATAATCAAGGCTCATTATTTTAATTAAGAATTTTCAGTAGTATTTATTGTTACATATTATGTATATTACATTCTGCTATGATATAAATCATTATTTTTGAACACTGTAGAACAGAAAAATCATCAATCAATATAGAATATATGTATTTAAATAACTAAAAATAGTTTTTAGTGGTATTTTGAAATTAGAATAGTATTTTATTTGCTAATTTTATTATTCGTGACTAAATTCATTTTTATTATATCACATAAAAGGAAATCTGCAAGTTGCAGAAAAATGCACCAGGTGTATAAAAAAATAACAAAATTATGTTAATACTTTCAGTGTTGAATTAGAAATGCGTATCTATTATTCCATTAAAAGTCTAATTAAGTGAGATATCCTTGATACTTTAATATTATAAGTGATAAGTAACACAAACCATAATCAGCCACTCTGTCATTTGAATTAAAAATAAATATTAACTAAAATTTAACGGTCCGTTCATATTATATAATGAACCAACATGGTACTTGCATAAAACTAAATAATAACGGAGTTCACGACACCACAATTGCATTGGGAGTCAACATACATGACACAGAGTAATTTAAAACAAGCACATTAAATGGCAACATGATGAAATGTCTCAGTGGCAATGTGCATCGACATTAGTTTGTGAAGGTATAATTGTTTCTATAGTCATTATTTAGTATTATGATACAATATCACGTGAGGTGGCGGTTATGGAGGTCATTCACTCGACATCCATCTCACTGGGCTGCGAGTCGCTGGCGGCTGGCTGCCCGTCACCCGCAGTTGGATTGCTAGGTGGAGGCGTCTTTTCTTTAGGTTTGGGTTTATTCAAGATAGGATTTACTATGTTTTCGAAGTTCTGAAATATAAAAGTATCATAAATCAACAATGTAGACTTTGGTAGTAGTAATGCTTTATTAAATTGTAAAATCTATGACAAATCCTGGATATTTTACATAACCTAACAGAAATAGAAAAAATAACGCAACAATAGTAAAATAATACCTGTCGTTCCTGACGAATTTGATGCGTGGTGTGAGGTGGCACCTGATAGCGAGGCGTGTGAGCAAGTGTTTGACGTGCGCTTTCGAGCCAGTTCAGTGCATTCTTAGAAGCTTCCACCACCTTCTGTATATCAGCTTCAGATAAGTGTGAATATTTTGCATCACCACCCCTGCAAAATAAAGAGATAATTAGTAGAAAATGTGCTGTGTCACATAGCGAAATTTTAGTCGAACTCTTTTACTACAAAATATAGATTAAATATTAAGGCAACTATTATATTTTTGTAATAACAAGAAACAACCCAAATTACAAAGACCTTGTTATATATAATTATTTGTTTATCTTTAGTTGTAATTTAAACCTCTGTTAACTAAACATTTTAAGGTTTTTTTTTTTTTAATAATTAACAAGATTCATTAGAGGGAAAGTACTCACTTGTATAAATCATAAGCTTTGTTTGCTAATTGAATGGCTAGAGCAAAATCATCTAATGCTCCAGGGCGTAGTTCAAACTCCAATCTCCGTTGCTTTATGGGTTCGCCTTCCGTTTTTAACTCTGTCAATTTGTCGCTATACACCTATTGATATATATATAAATAAATTTAAATTAATAAAAAGTTTTGTATAAATAATTTTTCCAAGGATGGGTTAAAACTATAAATTTGTTGAAATTTTAAAATAACCTTAACACAAATAAATCTATAAAAAGAGCCGATGACCTTGAAACACCTGAACAGATCTTCATATATTGTAGCTAAAACCCATCTCGATTACATCAGCTTTCAAACAAAATAAACCGAATTATAATCAGTCCATTCTTTTAGGAGCTACGATGCCACAGACAAACATACAGTCACGTCATCCTTATAACCTCTCTTTTTGCGTCAGGGATAAAAATGTCAACAAAAAATATACCCAGTTTGAAGTTCTGCTTGTAAATGGACAAGTAAATTAAGTAATTGTTTAGTAGTGACCCAGCATTGTAATCTGTATAAAATATTCACTTAATATTTACTTTTATTATTTTATATAAGAGTTGTTGAGTAATATTGAATTAAATTATATTATTAACTGTACAAAAACGCATGGTACAGTACCTGTCTATTCTGGTCTTCACCCTCATCATAAAGCCACTGTTCCAAAGAGTCCAGTTGATTGACAAGTCGAGTACGTTGATCCTCCGCGACAAAATCGTGCAGAGCTTCGCCCTCAGAGAGTTTGCCACGCAACTCATATACATACTCTTCAAGTGCATTTCGCGCATCAGCACGTTCCTTTTCTTGTCTGTCTTGAGCTTGCATTTTGCCCTTTAAAAACATGTTGTAGATGTGTATAATTATCGAAATTTATATTACTATACCACAAGTGTTATATTATTATAAATATTTATTAAATTTATATGATTTATATTATTTATTTAGATATTATTAAATTTATATGAATTTGTAAACTTCTATTTTTTGTTGTTTATAGAATACAAAATCTGTGATGAAAATGTCTGCTAATAAATTTTTTTTTCATCATATCAGTCTATTAACTGACCACTGCTGAACATAGGTCCTTCACTTTTCCCAGGGAGTTTTGTCAGTAGTTGCCATGCTTGGCAGGCAGATTGGCAACCGTTTTGGTGAAGTTTTGTATCTGTATTTTTCCTGTGTTGGCATTATAATAATTATATGATTTTGTTTTATTTACATTATTTTTATCTGCCCTGCAATTAATTTTTATTTTCTCTCTAATTACACTGGGTTGGCTGGAAGAGACCACTTTTAGAGATAAGCTCACCCTTGCTAACAAGTTGTTAAACTAATAAAGAACATATATATATATATATATATATATATATATATATATATATATATATATATATATATATATATATATATATTCAGTATAAATTCCTGATTACCCTATTCAGATAAATATAAAGAAAAAAAGGAAATAGGTAAGTCGACGTGTGATGCTATAGTCTAAATTTTAAAATTAAAATACCTCTTGTTCCACATAAGCATTGAGCTCCTGCTGTGAGAATCCATGAGTCCTAGCATCAATCGGTAATTCAATTGTTTTCACAAGAACTTTTTTTGGCTTTTCTTTTGATTTGTCCTTTTTGTCGTCATTGTTATCCTGAAAAAATAAAGCCAATAGAGCTCACATAGGTAAAAAGTACCTCTTCCCCACCGCAGCAAACTGCTTGGAAACTATAATTACCTCCATTAACATGCATCAAAATTATAGTTGAGCACAATCCCAAGCAGCGCTGTGACCCATTTGCACCAACATCATTAAAACAATTACATACAAAATTAAGCCATTACCATTTTAAAAGCTTGCATTTAAACAAAGTAATATGAAGAAATAACATAGGATTAACAAAAACATGCGTGGACACAGAGACAAAACTGTAAAAAAAATCTCACTTCAAATATTAATAGGAATCCGTAGGCGAGAGTAGAATTCATCATGAAATAAACATGTGCAAATGGGGCCTCCAAAAGAGGGTGGGGAAGTTTAACAAATTGTGGTGTTTGCTGCCTCTTATTGGCTAATATAAATATATGGATAATGTGTTAAAATGGGCAAAGGAGATTATGGATACTGGGATAAATGTAGCGGCAGCAAACATCACTAATCAGTCACAATATCGCGCTACCGGCACGTACCCCGCTGAACCACTGGCCTACTTTCTGTGTCCACGACTGTTTTTGTTGCGGCTCCCCCTTCATTTCATCTTCTCTCACCTCTTGGGTCTCGGGTCCATTTTGTTGTTGCTCTTGAGGACTACCATTTGTTTCCATAGGGGCATCCTGATTGTTCTGCGCGTTCTCATTGGCATTCTCCATCTCAATACTTTCCGTTTGAGATGCATCTTGCTTCTTTTCAACCAACGAGGCTGATGCCACAGTTATAATGCCATGAATGTTTACTCGCACTTTAAGTTTTACTTTTTGTGACTCTCCCTCTGATGTCGGTTGAACATCCTTGATATGCCATTGACCTTAAAGTTATTATTTTATTAATGTTTTTATTCTATAGTAGAAATAATTTATAGTTATATTGTTTATTCTAATTAACGCTATAATTAAAAACTATATAAAAATTTCTTTGTATAATAAACAAATAAATGCATGCAAATAAAATCAACACTATGTTATTTTATCTTTATTTACATAGTCTACCAATGAAACAATCACATATACATACCAATGAAAGTATCTGGGTAGGGTACTTGGTCTGAGTAATAAGCGCTCACTGTAAATGGTTCTTTTCTGTAGAATGTCAACATTTTTGAGAATGGCGCAGGATGGAAAGCCGGGAATACCTAGGAGAATAGTTACATATAATTCTCATACTTCTCTATAAACATATGTATAATAATAACAACAATTAAATAAGAACTGGAATCAATCAAACTATTTATTATTTAAAGATTATCACATCAATCAAGGGGTTCATCCGCAACCCCTTACGGGGTGGCAGGTACTGGCCTCAGTGGGGACCGCGAGATCCGCCTGCGCGTCATTAAGTTTTGACAATTACGTCATTACGAAATATGAGCGTAACGACCCGCGACTGCGCCCTGCACAGTCGCAGAACGCAGTTCTGTTGCACCTGCATGCACCGCCTCTGTGAGTCAGAACACTGGACTGGACTGTAGGACCGGTCGCAACATGGCCCGCGCGGTCTTAGTGGGTGTGACCGCGCGGTTTACCTGCGATGTCATTCGTAGCGACCGGTCGGATCTCTACCCCTAGGTAACGCACTGTGTGCTCCCATGTAATGGGCAACCCGCGGAGGTGGAGAGGCGACGAATAGCATGAGCGGCGTCGAGTGAGTAGCGCTACCGTTTTCCCCAGGTTAACGGTGGTGCGCCACTTGTCGAGCCACTCAGGCAGGTGGTTCAACAGACGCTGCATTCTACGTGCAGCGATGTCTGCGCTGGTCGACGTTGTGAAATAGGCACTGTGGTCGGCAAATAGAGCGAGGACGACATCGCGCTTCCTCGAGGAGCTCATCCCTCAAGGTGGGAATGTCGTCCGTGTACGTTGCGTATAATGCTGGGGAAATGCAGCTGCCCTGCGGCACTCCGGCGGCAATAGGGTAGACGGCTGAGTCCACGCCCTCGACCGAAACATAAAAGCTCCGGCCACGTAAGAAATTATCAATAACCCGCACGTAGGCTTGCGGCGTGTTAGTGTGTACAACTGTCGTGCCACACACGGTCGAACGCTTTCTCAATATCGAGAAAAACACCGACTGCGAATCGACCGAGATTATGTTTGACGGCCAAATGACGCGCGCAAGTTGGAGCGTAGTTGAGTGGCCGCTCCTAAAACCGAACTGTTCGACTCGTGGAGTGACGTATAGGTACAGTCGATGGAGCAGCGCGCGCTCGACACAGTGTTATCGGCTTGCGGCGTTTTGCTGTGGAAGAGATTCAACAATCAATAATTTTAAGTTTTCAAATATAATCATTTAATAAAGAGTATCTATCTATATATAAATATACGAGTTGTCATGGTAAACATCTTTTTAACCTCTATCTAGTATCTATAAAAACTGTCACTTTAACAGGGTGGCCCAAAAGTCCTTAGAAAAGTCGAAAACGGCGCGCGTGAGCGGTGCTTTCGGTTTCGATATCGCGATGGAAAAACACAAAACAACAATTCGGCAACCGTTGCGAAGCGTAAATTTCGAGAACACAAAGGTTTAGATGACACCCCAGCTCTCCAAACGATTAAGAATTGTTGCTAAGTTCGAGGAGACCGGTTCGACGTTAGATAAACCGGCCCAAACATCACGTACGGAACAAAACATCGACACAGTGGCACAATCTATTCGTGAAAATCCTACACAGTCAACTCGTAAGCGTTCCAGTGCATTAAACGTATCCAGGACATCGTTACAACGGATTTTGAAGAAAGATTTACTTATGCACCCTTACAAAATTCAGTTGGTGCAAGAATTAAAAGAAACTGATGCTATTCAGAGAGTGAATTATGCTAATGAAATGTTTAATCGGTTTACTTCGTTCAATAACATAATGTTCTCTGATGAGGCACACTTCCACATTAACGGACATGTTAGTAAACAGAATTGCCGCTATTGGAGCCCGATTAATCCAAAACTTAAGCACCAGAAGCCCTTACATAGCCCTAAAGTTACAGTTTGGGCCGTTATGTCAGCCCATGGCATCATAGGGCCTTACTTTTTTGAGGATGGCAGAGGGCGTGCTGTTAACATATTAGATCGGAGTTTTTCACACAAAAATTGCAAAACTATTTTAATGCTTAAATCATATATAAATATATCTCTAGAGAGGAGACATTGTCATGGATTTTTTTTTGTGGGGCTAAATATCTTAACCCGTGGTCAATTAATGACCTAAAAGAAAACATCCGCAGAGAAATGGCAAGCATTTCATCGTGCCGCGCAGTCATCGACAATTTCATTTGCTACTGTATAAAAATTTACAAAAAATATCACTATATTTACAAATAAAAATATTATTCATAGTGTAATTAGTTTTATTTTAATTATTTTTTTTCATTACTAAGGACTTATGGGCCACCCTGTACAAATAGTGCACATTTACAAAATTTTATTATAATCGGCCAAGCTGTTTTGGAAATAAGTGTGAACGAAAATGCTGACACAATATTATTATAAATTAAGACATGATATATCATTGAAACAGAAACGGTGGGGGAAGGGATTATTAACAATAGAGTTTGACAGACTCATTGCTAGCAATATGCTCTATTAAGTCGACCTCCACATGGTTCCCCTTGGAAACCATCATAAACGATTCTTGTTGGGTTCATCACCGTAGGCTAGTTGATCTGCTTCACCTTCACCTATCATCCTTCACTGGCACTGCATAGGCAGAGTGCAACTAACCTCCATGTCGGTGTCCTCGCCGCGAGCAGCGTCCCAAGCGAGGCGCACGGCGTAGGGCTGCACATCCGTGACCGAGAACTCGCGCACGCGCACCGCCGGCGACAGCATCGCGCATTGCAGCGCGCAGCCCCGCGATACCGCCTCGTCCTGTTCGAACAAGCGCGCAAAATATTGTTGATACGATCGACATTCTTTTTACAGAAAATAGTAAAAGAAAATCTTAAACTTAAATGCTAATTTTGTAAAACAAAAAAATATAAAAATCAATAACGTATGATAATATAATTAAATTGTGTTCAACAATAAAACAGATTTCAATTGTAGTAAAACCAGTTATTTTATTTAAAAACTGAACTATTAAATTGATTTTGATAAAATTTCTATGGAACCAATCTAAATAAGTGTATCCTTTCAGAAAAAAAAATCTAGTTGGTTTACAACTGACGGAGTTATTAGGGAACAAACATTAAAAAATAATACAATTCAAATTTAAAAACCTAGTTCTTTTTGAAGTAAGCTGAAAATACATAAAGCTATCTAAGCTAATCACAAAAAATATAAATACACCTATCCCCCGATTTACACGGTAGATACGTTCCTGAGAAAAACGTGTAAATCGAAAATTTTAAATTTTCAAGTCAAAACCGTGTAAATCGAAAAGCTTGCGGAAAATGCATAATTTTGCTATTTAACAGTTGTGATTTTTTTCAATATTTTTATTGTAATAGTTCTTATTGTAGCTTCGTTCATGTTATATGATTTTGCAACATCTACTACTCTATCTCCCCTTTCGTAAGCGATCCAAAATTTAGATTTTAGTTTCTAAAGAAATAACTTTTCTTTTAACTTCTTTCGACATTATAAGCCTATAATTTTTTTTTTATTTATGTTAATTTATAAAAATCTTAATTATGCACCCACTTGTAATTTACGAATATGAAAAATTAAATACACTGTGAACTCAAATACAATTTTCCGTAGATAAAACTTTAATTTTATGCGAAGAAATACAGACACAGTGTGCATGTGCAGCAAGTCAGCACATAAGCTCTGGATTCCCCGTGAGATGTGTACACAGCGCACGTGTTCAAAATAAGTTTTTTTTTTGTAAAAACAAAAAAAGAAACTTATTTGGAAAACCGTGTAAAAGCGAAAACGTGTAAAACAAGTACCGTGTAAATCGGGGGATAGGTGTATGTTTTTGTGAAACTTGTAAAATAAAGTATGACAACTATTTTTCACAAAATTGTTGTAAAAGCGAAGGTAGTTGATGATACTGTTTAATAATTTTAGGTATTATGGTACTATCATATCTATAGATGTCTCAACAAATAATACTAAAGATATCTATTATGTATGTGAACGTGTTAAATTCAGGTTCTTTACTTTTATAGATGTATTTAAATATTACCTGATTTAAAGTAGTTGATGCATGTTTTCCAAATACTTGTTCAATCAATCCTTTCACAGCAGGTATTCTTGTAGAACCACCAACGATTTCAACTGAGTAGATATCTTCAGGTCTCAATTCTGAAAGGGAGAAAAATTCCTAATAAAGAAAGCTGTGAATATCACTTGGTAGAAAATAACAGTTAACACAAGGTTTTATTCTGCAGAAAAAAAAAAAAACAAATTTAATCGATATAAAATTATTTTTATACAGGGTCTCTCAAAGGTTGACATTTGTTTTGGTTCTTGCGTGAACGCAACTATTCTGAGGGGCGCGGGGGGTATGTCATTCGATACCCTAGCTTCTGGGGATTTAGTCGCTATGGAGCGATTCTCGGAAGCGGATTGTGCGTTGTGCGTATGTGAGTTTTACAAAAACGGTAATTCAGCGACTGTAGCGCGTAGCAAATTATGCAATATCCGACATATTCGACATTTAAATTACGCGCCAAGCCCTAAACTCATTGGAAATGGGTCAAAAAGTTTGAAAAGACCGGTTCAACGCTGAAAAAATCAAAATCCGGGCGTCCAAGGTCTTTGAGAACGGTCGAAAACATTGTTTCTCAATCTGTTCGTGACAACCCAGACCTTTCGATTCGGAAGCGTGCTGATGCTTTAAACGTGCATGGATCGTCGTTGTTCCGAATTTTACACAAAGATTTAAAGCTGCACTCCTTCAAAATTCAATTAGTGCAAGAATTAAAACTTCAGGATGCTGGGCCGAGGCTTGACTTTGTAAATCAGATGATTGAGCGCTTTTCAACGTATACCAACATATTATTTTCGGATGAAGCTAATTTCCATCTCAATGGATGTCCATTAAACAAACAAAATTATCTATACTGGAGTGCAACTAATTCAAAACACAAACAACAAAAACCCCTACATTCGCCTAAAGTAACCGTATGGGCTGCAATGTCGGAGCGAGGGATTATCGGCCCTTACTTTTTTGAAGATGAAAGGGGACTCACAGTTACACTGAACTCAGACCGTTATGTAGAGATGTTAGACAACTTCTTCGTGCCTGAACTGTAAAATTTTCCGGGTTAAAATCAAAGAATATGGTACCAGCAGGACGGAGCAACTTCACACACGTCCAACAGGTCTTTATCACGAGTTCGTGAACTTTTTCGTGGCAAATTGATATCCAGGAGAGGTGACATAAGTTGGCCTTCACGAAGTCGCGATTTAACCCCTATGGACGTTTCCCTGTGGGGTTACGTCAAATCTAAACTTTATGCCAACAAACCGACTTCCTTGGGACAATTATAAGGAAATCTCCGTCACGAAATGACAGCCATCACGGACAATATATGCCGAGCCGTTATAGAAAATTTTAGAAATCGATTAAATGAATGCCGTGAACGCAACGGTTTACACTTGGACGATATCATTTTCAAGAAATAAATTCCCAAAAAGTGTATTTTAATATGTAATAATTTTTTTTAATAAACTCCTTGTTTAATTTTTTATCGATTTTTAAATGTGAACTTTGTTTTGAGTCACCTTGTATAATATTGACTTAAAATAATTTAATTTACCAAAATAGTCTTATAAAAAAAAATTGGCGTATTGAGAATCTCCTTCTTGTTCAAGTAGCTTAATAGTAATATGTCATGGTTAAACCGTTTCTCATCATGTGACAGTCAGATAAAATAAAAAATGAAATGTTTTTGTAGAGTAATGAAACTTACTTGCATTATGAAGTATGGCTCTCAATGTTCTTTCAACTCGAGTAAAAGTCTCAGCACAAATTTGTTCCATTTGTGCACGCTGCATATCACCAGAGACATCGCGTTCTTCCATGAAACACTCAATATTAAGTGGTAGCCGAGTACTATTAGCCGACATCTGCTTTTTCAGTTTTTCAATCTCTTGCAGGAGTCGAAGGTAAGCTCTGTGAATGAATCATGTGAATGAAAGAAATAATATTATTGTAAAATAAAAATAAGAAAAAAAAAAGTTTGGCATACATTTATAGTTTTATATTTATGTAAAAGGTTTTTTTTTTCAATAGCATGTTTATTGGGCATCTGGTTATTCTATATCTATTATTCTGTTTTTCTAAACCACAAATATTTGCTGCTAATGAACATTTAGTTCATTATTAAAATCTTATATTATACAGAGTATAACCAAAATAATAGAGAAATGTTTCAGTACATATATTACCTTTGATTTTTCCTAGCATCCAATTTAAATCTAGTAATAAAATCTTGAGCGAAATATTCGGCTAAGCCCATGTCTATGTCTCTTCCACCGCACTGAGGATCTGATGCAGTAGCCAACACACGTAATTTTCCTTTATTAAAGGCACATGCTGAAACCTAAACACAAAGCAAAAATATCATTAGTATCGACCTGAGTCTACTGTACTAAAATAATACATACGTAATATAATTATTGTTAGAACAAAAATTACAACCATTTTCAGTAGATATTTGAAATTTTCGAAATATCTTAATTTTCGTAATTAGCCATAACTTTTGTTTATGAGGGAGGTCTATGTTCAGCAATGGACTGATAATGGCTGAGATGATGATGATGACTGATCAATTTCCAATAACTATTTAATAAATAGTCATAATAATATAAGATATTATACAATATATTCGGTTTTAAACATGACAAAGATCCCGAACAGAATGTGTATACATCTAGTATAGAATTGAATACTCTAATAAAAAACTTTCATTTTGAATTGATAATTACCTGTAGTGAACTGTGACCAAAATCAACAAACACCACATTCCTTGGCTTTTCCTCAGGAGCAGGGAGGTCTTGTTTATAAATACCATATGAAAGGGCAGTGGCAGTAGTTTCATTCATAAGGCGTAGCACATTCAGTCCTGAAATGGACAAGATATTTTTAAATTACAAATTCAATTACAAAAACCTATTAAAAATCATCAAATCAGTTCTAAGTTTGTTAAGTATGTTCCTTTTATAATTATTCAACCATAATCTTGAATCAATATTATTATTTTTTTATTGTATTTTCTTTTATATTATTTTATTTATTCAGTGTGTTACAACTAACTGAGATATATTCGTTGTTATGTATTTATACCTTCCCTTAATTAATACATTTTACATATATAGATATTGGCGTATTTAACATTATATTTCGGGGAGGTGAGCAAGGGAGCGAAGAGATTGGTGCTGTTTAAAAAGGCCTATATACATTTTCAGATATGTCTTTACAAAGCTTTAATACTGTGGTGAGCATAATCTAATATATAAAATTCTCGTGTCGCGGTGTTTGTTACCAAACTCCTCCGAAACGGCATGACCGACTTTTATGAAATTTTGCGTGTATATTGGATAGGTCTGAGAATCGGCCAACATCTATTTTTTATACCCGTCAATGATAAGGGTGACCCACCCCTATTTTTTTTTTATTTATTGACAATTTTTTTTATTTTTATTTTATTATGATTTAGTATTGAAAAATACATATAAATTCAAATTTTCACGCATTTACGATCAACCCCTGTTTTTTGGGGCATCGAATATAATAATTGTAGTACGAGTCGAAATAATGTATATGGTAAAACAACGTTTGCCGAGTTAGCTAGTATACATATATAATCACATTAAAATTTGATAACTTTAGTTAATTTTAACAATTAGCCCGACGATGTCACGGGTGCAGCCAATTGTGTTGCTGCTCAATGAAGGTTGCCTTGTACGAATAAATACTTATTGATCTTTTGTTAGGGTTATTTGTACAAGGTTATTGGTTCAGTTTCATAGAAAACGAAAAGATTATTGATATTATAAGACAAAATAAATTGTAAAGATTAATTTGAAATAGTGCTTTGAATACTTAAACTAATACAGACAAAAGACGTGATTTATTGTTTGTAATTTATAAACTCAAAAATAATAAAAAAATATTTTTTTTACTATACAAAAGCTAAATCATCAGCACATTTTTATTAAAAAAAAAAATTGGTGGTATTTATCTACCTACTTGAAACCAGGGTCGGTTACTAGTTATAAGTTTAATATGCTTTCGTACTAAGGTATTGTAATGTTAATGTGAATTCTAGTATTGCAAACGTCTATAAGCTACAGTGACTGTTTGTTTACCATAAGACAAGCTTATATACTTGTTTGCAACCTCCATGATATAAAGAAAAAAGCCGGTCAAGTGGAAATCAAACTCGCGTTCCGTACAAAATCATCAGTTTAATTTTTTTTCGTGTAATAACTACAAATTTACGGTTTTTGGATTTTTTCCTTTACTTGTGCTACATGACATTGCTTCTTGCCAAATTTCATGATTCTAGTACAAGGCAAGTACCCTATAGGTTTTGATTCCTTTTGCGAATGTCAAACGAACGGACAAAGAAATGATCTTATAAGGATTCCGTTTTTTACTTTGGAGAAACGGAACCCTAAAACTCAATTTTATTTTTATATACTCAAAACACGTTAGTTAGAAACATTCATAAAACTATATAAGCTATACTGTTGTATAAATGTTTTTAATTAGTGAACTTACTAAAGTAACACACTTAATTTTTATTAAAATAATAATATGTGTTAGGAAGAATATTAAAACAGGAAAAAATACATATCATTTATGTGTCGTAGCGTCAATATCTGTTACCACTTTGACAATTAGTAAATGTACCTACTGATTTATTAATAAATTGGTTATTAACAAATCAGTAGTACATTTACATTTTATTTCGAGTCAATAGAAGTCCTAAATATTTTCCTATTATGAAACGCTTGTATAGTTATGCCCAATTAAAATCAAGGAAACCAGTTAAAACAATATTTGCATAAAATATATGCAAAAAATATATTTCACAAATACATGAATCACTATGCAATGAGAAGTACAAGAAATTATTCATAGATTTATTTTAATTGGAAAGTTAAGTTTCACAACGGAAATTAATAATCACAAAGTAATTTTGATTATGTCTTCATAAACTAATCCTCTATTTAAGTGAAATGTGATGTCCATAATTCTTTTTTTTATACAACTTAAAATGACAAACAAGCTGACGGCCCACCTGATGGAAAGTGGTAACCATCGCCTATAGACATGAGCAGTACCATGAGAAATCCATGTTAATATATATAATATATTGATTAATAATCTAAATTAATTTAATTCATTAATAATTTAATAACCAATAATTTGCAGTACAGTATTATCTCACTCTAATCGAGAATAAAATACGAGATGACTTGCTTAAATGATCCTATCACTTTTTATTGTATGCTAGCTTTTTGCAGGTAGCTTCGTACGCGTGGATTTTAAAAGTAGGAAAAACAATAAAATAGACCATTTCTAGATGACACACGAGTATAAAGATTAAATATAGACCAGTTTAAGTTAAATATTCACAAACAACTGTAATAACCCTACACAATTTAGTGCAGTAGTTGTTATGGGACGCCAGAACAAATATGCAGACAGACAAATAAAAATTTTAAAAACTTTTTTGCTTTTATTAAAAAAAACTTTATTGTAAAGGGGAGTCTCTTACATGAGGTTTTTTTTAAACAGCTTCTAAATACACATATTGTCTAGATACAATTTTATTTGTAAGATTCATCAAACATCTGTATCATTATAATAAGAATTGGACAAATGTAAGGTGAAATCCATACTGTTCGCGACATTATTTGTATATATCGTAATTTATAGTTGTTAAGTCCCTAGTTAATCGTTTCTGTATTCTGTTATTTTATATAGATTTACATAGATTTAAGATAGTGTAAGTTAAATAAAGTATTCCTTTGCGTGTTGTCGTTATTACCTACGAATAGAAATTGTAACAATAAATAGAATTAAGAAATTGTAAATTGAAATAAAATAAATAAATAGACGCTATAGAGTACCGATCTGAAGAGACACGCGTCTTTCATAAATCGCTATCGCGAGTTCATCAAATTTCGCTTGATAACAGTGACAAGAAGAAAAAATTCTTCAGTTAATAGTAATCCCTGTGTTTCACTCCAGGAACCAACGCCCCTACAGTCCACTAAGAGAGACATACTAATATAAATATGAAATCGAGGTTGTTTATTTGTCCCTTTATAAACAGCTTCACAAATTGTTGAGCCTAAACAGTGATTGTTAGTAATTTGTGGTTACTAAGAGTGATTGTTAGTTACTAGTGATTTGTTGAGCCTTAACAGCTCAATAGTATTTGAAATTTGGCACATGAGTAGAATAGAATATAACCTCTAACTCATAGGAAAATTTATATACTAAAGCTGCTGGAAACAGGTTGACATTATTAAAAATATGAATATTATCTATATTAAATAATAAAAATCTCTCTCTTTAAAAATCTCAGTAACAGAATAGTAATTTAATTAATTAGAGTAAAATGATTTCTGCAGCAACATAATGAAATCAGTACACATGAATTTATTTTAATCTTTACCTACCTGTAACTTTAACAGTGTGACAAAGGATAAAATCGGCTAATAAGTGCATGCCAAATTTCATAGGGATATTTTGATCAATTGAAGCACCCAGAGGTAACAAATTCATATTTATGAGTAAAGATTTGATATTTATTTAAAGACAGCCAACAAAGAATACATTTATATATAATTAACTTACATTATAAAATGCTATATATATATATATATATATATATATATATATATATATATATATATATATATATATATATATATATATATATATATCAAACAAAATGGCTTGTTTTGTTAGATTTAGTTAGAACAAGAATAATAATAACATACCTGCAATAGCAGCTGCATCCAAAAGTGCATTTCTTTCAGCATTTGTAAAGTAGCTAGGTACAGATATAACACAATCATTAATCTGAGTTTGTAAAGCTGTGGTGGCAATATCCTTTAGTTTTGTAAACAACATTGCAGTGATCTAGAAAAAAAGTAGCTATTATGTTTTTCTGTTTAAATAAATATTATCTAAGTATTTAAGATGTGCATGCATGTTAAAGATAGGCAAAGGTTAATTTATTATTAATGGTCTATATTGGCATATTTAAGATTATTTCCAGGAGCCCTTATAAAAAGATGCATGTGTAACTCTTAGAGATTTTTTGCTTATTGGGGAAACCTCTGCTCACATAGTGGGGTGGGCAATTCAGGGGTGGCTGCTGCTCACCCGGGCCTCCCTTAAATATGCATGATTGTCTAGTGTTGCTTATACACAATGATAAAATAATACTTTTAGGATTTGAGGAATATAAAAAAAGTCTTTAGTAATGTGCAAGAATGCAAATCAATGCATTCTCCATTTTTTTTTATTATTTAACAAAGATACAGATTGATTGATTGAAAGGCTTTTATGGATGATTATATTTTTATAAATAAAGCCCTATTTTTGTATCAACAGAATTGATGTTCATGAGAGAAAATAAAAATTAGTTTATATAGAATATCATTTAAATCAACCTCTCTTCATTTAATAGAATTTTCATTCATACATCAGTTTTTATCCAATTATGATAAAAATAACACATCTAATAAAACAAATTACATAAGTGATTAATGTACTAAGTACATTTCATTTATGTAATTATTTGTCCCAGATAACAAAAACATATTCATATTGCCATATTAACCCTCATTCAGCAGAATATAAATATAGCTAATTATTTGTAAATCACAATTGTAGCATTAAATAACAAAAAATATGACAACTTTTCTTATCTTTAGGTTTTCAATATATTACTTTATAACCTTAAATATATTACTTGATTACACAATCCAACAAACTCTTTTTAGACTTTAGAAGTATAAAAACATTACTTTAAAAGGAGAAATTTCTTATTAGTATCTTTGTATACTTAATAGATTATGAGTTTGACAGACCTGTTCTGGACTGAATACATTATCTTCACCAAGGTAATTAATTTTAATTCCAATACCACCATCAGGTCTTTGTTCTACTTTAAAAGGAATATGTTTCAACTCTTTCTGGACAAATGGATCAGAAAATTTTCTTCCAAGCAATCTTTTGAAACCAAATACAGTATTCTTCATATTTGTTACCATCTGATTTTTTGCAGCTACACCTAATATTCGATTCTTTGGCGAGAATGCTACACATGATCTGGAATAATGTTTGGGTAAGGTCATAATTTAGGTTAGTTTTACAATGACTATGATTATTTTCTATGAATGAACACAAATTTTCATGAGTTTAAATTAACACAAAATTAACAATATTTTAAGTAATATAATACAGGATTAATGTATAATAATTTTTTAAGTTTTTTTTTCATATAAATTCATTAATATTATAATACATTGTGTGAATCATGACATATAGATAGTCAAAATAGGAATTTAACAATGACAAGACAAAATATTATTATGAATTAAAGAATCAATCCTGTTAATATAAACCATTTGGATTGTTGAAAAATGATATAAAATCATACTCACGGAGTACCCCGAAGACTATAGTCGTTAGCTATTGTCTCAATACCACCTGCTTTTGCAACAGCAATGTAACAGGATTCATTGCCGAAATCAATACCAATGACGGACATAGCAGCCATTACGATGAACAATTTTTAATTAATTCAACTCTGAACTTGACGAAATTTAATTTTTCTCCACAAGAATCAGAGGATAATAACACGTTGCTTTAGATGACAATCACTCAATCAATCGCGAATGAACGCCGGTTAGCCGCACTTCCCAGTTCGTACCCGAATTTTCTAGAAAAATAGTGTTGTGCAAGAGGGCTAAAAGTGCTAAGGTACCTATATGTCACTAGAAGATTCGTACAATAACGATTATCTTGATATCGAATTTGACGAGTATTCGATTAATTTGAATTAAATTTTCGTTTAACTTGAATTCTGGATATTACAATTTCTGAATATGTAATATATAATAGATATATAATGGGCATTTATTCTATGGGTTTTGTTACGTACGCTCGGAACGCACCTCAACACAAAATGTCAAAATGTTCTGTCAGATTTGCGCTGTCTGCTATCGCTTTGCTTTTACAAAATTAATTACATATAATAAATCTGTTGTTTATAATAATAGCATTTAAATACTACACCCAATATAGAAACCCACAAAACACAACAGGTTTCGATTCCATTATTCAGTTCTAATAGATGAATGTTACGTACTAAACTTGTACTTGTGTTTGTTCGAGCATATTTCTTATGTTAAATTAATATTTGTATATCAGATATACAAAAGAAAATAAAACAGGCAATGTGTATATTATCTGTATTGAATTATTGATAAGTGAAACGCAGCAATAAACTACCTTCTTTGATTTGTGGAATATAAAACAGCCAGCTACGATAGATACGCTAGATAGATACTCTTTATCGTTTCCTCCGAAAGATTACAATAGTAAACTAGTTATAAATATAAATAATTACAAGAAATAATCACAATGAGAAAACAATGGGCGACCTTATCGCTAAGAGCGATCTCTACCAGGCAACCTTTGGATGGAGAGGAGTAATTATAAACAATTTGGTGGGAGGCACGATGAAAAATTTTGTTAGTTCTAAATATGGGAGATGTGATACATATAATAATATAAATATTATCCCTACTCATTATTATATGTATATACATACACCTACACACATATATACACATATTAACACATATACTATATATATATATATATATATATATATATATATTTTATTCTGCTTATTATACGTATTTTAATATTTAATATTGCTTTCTGTTCTCTACTTTAATATATACATATATATATACATATACACATATACATACATGGATATAAACGCCTACACAAATACATAAAATATATAAATACTGTTCACGAAAAGACGCCTTATCGATATTCTTCCTTTTATTATTGGGTCTATGGATATGATTGTAAAATTCTTACAGAATAAAAAATTATAAGATATTTATATAATAAGGTATTTAAAAATAAATAATATAATAAAATAAATAGCTAGGGTTTATAGTAATTAATAGCCATAATTTAATTTTAATATTGTGAAATTGTAATAGTATCATTAACAAAATATTAATTTTATTTGTAGATAGTGATAATAGAGATTATAGAAAAAATATTAGCAATTTGTCCAGTAAACAGTAGAAATTGATTAAACCAAATAAATCGAATCATAACATTCGATTAAATTTCTGAGAAATTATTACTGACAGTGGATGGCATTGACATATATCTAGAGTAGTATAGGTCTATCTATGGCATTGACAATAGATTGATAATGACAATATTGACATTTCTATAGATTGTTTATGTACAGATGTCAAGTATACCACAAGCGGGGTGAATAGGAACTTTTAATGACTTTGTTTTTCTTTTTTTTTTTTATATACCTTAGTAAGATTTGATAATATGACATACAATTTGGGTTCATAATGTTTAAAATTTGGCTGTTTATTATTAAATAAGTCGCTCGTTTTCCTTAGTCTTGCAAAATGTGTTCATTTTTTATACACGCCGAGATGAGTAAAAACGAGAGAGGGAACAATAGAAAAACTAAAAAGGATTGTTACTTTTGTAAAGAAAATTTAATTACGTAAGTAAGTACTCTTACTTTTTAATCATATATAACCCATTAAATATATATAAACAAATTTGGTGTGTCTTTTTATCAAAGAAACAGTGTATAAAATAAATATATTGTTAAAATACACTACACTAAATAATTTTATCACTTGTTTAATAACATAATTATACATATAGTAACATTTTATAAAGTTGGAAAAAGCAATTTTAAAAATTTTATTTGAGAAACTCTTAATTTCATAACCTTTTTTAATCAATTCTTTCTTTAGTTTTTTTTCACCTCTAATGTTTCAGAGCCTAAGAAATAAGGATTTGAAAAAAAATTCATTATCGTAGTATAATCCTTAATCTATGTCCAAACGTCGAACGTCGGTTGAATTTACGTTTCCCACTTTTCGACGTCGTCACTCGAATCATGCACTCTTGGACTCCGACGATCCAATTACATTGGCCAATGTACCTCCCCACCTTCTTCCCTGCCGCGGACCCTTCGTCTCTCGCGTCGTCACCTACATATCGCACATCGCGGAGACGAAGACCCCGACACACCGTTTGCGCACGATCAGGTTCATGCCTGAGTTCATCTCACCGACCCCACTTCTCCACTCGTCACGACCAACCAACATTGGTTCTTGACGGGGGTCGAAGTACGATGGATTAAGTCGGCCTAAGGCCGAGGTGCGGAGGGGGGGGGAGGGATTGTTAGTAATGCAGATTACCAGTCCCATTGCTAGCAATACACTATCAGATTGACCACGCAATTCCCTCTGGAAACCATCGTGGTTAATTCTTGTGGAATTCCTCTAACTGACCTGCTTTCCTCGTCACCTATCATCTATCTCTGGTGCCCCGCCAGCGTATACCGATAGCGCAGGCGACGGATACTATTTCATTACCACAAATTTTTTTAAAGAGTGATAATGACAGGAAAAAGGAGCGCACTTTTTACAAGTCACATAAAACGACTTGTTCAGGAATATCGAACCAATCTACACAAAAGATCCTTCTTTTCTTTTTATGTTAGCCAGCTTTATGTTCGAAATGGAAACGAATAGAGTTATAATTAAATTATAGTTTGATAGTAGAAATGTGAATTATGTGATAAAAAAAAATATAAATTTTATGTCAAATTGCATGTTCCGATGAACATTTTTTTAGCAAAGTAAAATAAAAGTTAACATTCTTAAATGCGTTTATTATTTTATACAATATTATATAGAGATCTCAATTTCGTAATATTATTGATAGTAATTACAAGTTTTCTATATTATATATAGTATTTGATCTATTTCTATAGTACATCTCGCAATAGAGTCAATATTAATTATATAGTCGTAATTCCCACATCAAATTAAAAAGATATATGAAATACAAAGCTAAAATTGTTCCACAAATAGTCTAGATGGCAGCTATTTGCACCTCATTTGACAGTATTGTTGTTAGTTAAATTGGCAGTATTGTGATTTCATCATTTAACTAAACATTGATATGATGTTTCCTAACCAAATCCGTACATTAAAATCTAGTATAGAAATTAAGCAAGACTGCAGAAGATCTAAGTACACTAAGAGTAGTCTTGTCTGTCAGTTCTGTAATAAATTATCTGATGGCAATAAATCTTAATCACTTGATTAGCAATCGATTTATTTTCATGAATTTTTAAGACAGTTAAAGATTTATTATTAGGATTAGGTGAGGTACTTACTTATAACATGCAATTTAGAATATATGCTTTTTAGAGATTATGTTATAATCTTATAGTTATAATGTTCCCATTTTAAATTAGTAATAGCCCCAATCGAATTGTTAAGTTATTAATCGCTATACAAATAGAGATTTAGTATATTGCAATACATATCGAAATGGGTGATCACTTTTTTCGCCAATTCAATGTTTAGACTAGAGGGAAGGGGGGGGGGGGGGTTGTTAGTAATGGGGATTAGCAACCCTATTACTGACAACATAGCCTATCAGGTTGACTTCCTCGTGGTTTCCTCTGGAAACCATCAGATTGATTTATTGATGAATTTGGAATGATAAGCTAACTGACCTGTTTCATTTTCAATTATCATTCTTTACTGATACCCCGCTAGTGAATATTGATGGAGCAGGCGGGTTAATCACCTATTAAAAAAAAATGTTCAGACGGACCCGTAATATAGATATCGGACTAATAGCGATATTAGCTATGCTTGTATGTAACAGTTTTTAGGTATCGACAACATTGACCTTTTTAATTGTTTACCTTACCATTTTTTGTATTTTACATATTTTTAATACCTAAAGTTTTTTTTTTATTATAAGGATTAGGATTATGCTTTTATTATTCTCTAACTTACAATTTAATTATATGTGATTCTAATAACTGTCATTGACAATCTGAATCTGCTAGTGTTAATTGGATTGAGTATTCAGAATATTTCGCACCACAGACTATAATATACCGACTGATTGCGATTAGGTATTCATAATATAATAATATAAATAAGCAATACTGGGGGCTTACTATGAGCTTTTTTAGCAGGCCTTAAATTCAACTGTCCTGCTAAAACGTACTATGACCGCGTTATAGCAGGCCTGCTACAAGACTATTTAGACTAGTATTTCTAAACCGTTCACCTTTTTTTTATATGAACAATTCGTACCATGACGCCAACTTTGACAGCAACAAAACGTTTCTTACGCATCTCTAATGTCAAATAAAGCAATGTTGAAAAAGTTAGTTCTTGAGTAACTTTTTATAAATTGTTTTGATATTTGTAGTGGTTTTGTAAGGATTTAATTTATTACTTGCTCTGTGGGAGACATTCAGAGTTCAAGTGACCCTTCATTTTACGAATTAAGCCAGAATTTATAAATTTCAAGTGGTTTTAAGGTTCATATTTTTACACAAAAAAACTCTTATCTATTTCTATTTTAGTTGCATCATAATCCAAGTTAAAATTTTTTGTAGATGTGCGACGAGTACGAATTGTTTGAATACTTAGAGAGTGAATACCGAATGGAGAGAAAAAATAAGCGTCGTCGGTTAAGGCAAATTAATGACCCTTTCGAATTGGAGGATAGAGAGTTTATAAATGAATATAGGTAGATACTTTACTGTTATTTATATTATACATTTATATCATATTCTACTTATAATAGTCGTTTTAGTTAATGGATAGTCTTATATAGATAAAAACCCTTAGTTGTTTTTTCTAAAAAAATTCATTATTAAACTTATTATAAACACAAACAATCATAAGAAAAGATCACACAATTACAAATCTTAGAGACAGGTTTTATTTAATACCTATTTATTTACAACTTTCTTTTATTAGATTATCACCAGATTTGGTTAGAGATCTGTGTGAGGAGTTGGAGCCTATTTTAAAGACTCGACCTAAACGATCCAATGATTTAAGCATTGAAACAAAGGTAGTTGTGATTTATTATATATATTGTTTTCTACTGGTTCTCCTTTTCTCTAGTCTAGATCATTAATAAATTAACTGTTTTGTTTTCAGGTGTTAACAGCAGTGTATTTATATGCACATGGGTCTTATCAGAAACCCACTGGTAAAGCTCAAAGTATTGCGCAGCAGACTGTCTCTTCTGTATTATCAGAGGTTACAGCTGCTTTAAATAATTTGGAAATCAGAAATAAATACATTAAATTTCCCCAAAATACTGCAGAACGTAATACAAATAAGTTAAGGTATTTTTTATATTTTTAAGCCACACAAGAACACTTTCTGTTACAAGAGATCATGAATACTGCAGACAACTTACACAGAATGCCCTTTATTTTCTTTCCTTATTTACCTTTCAGATTTTATGAAAAATTTGGTATTCCTGGTGTGATTGGATGCATTGATTGTTCCCATATTGCAATAGTAAGACCCAATGAACATGAAGAAAGGTATTATTGCAGAAAAAATTATCATTCCCTAAATGTTCAATTGGTAATGTAAAATTTAATTATGATTTACATATTTTAAAATATTAAGTAGACTCCATTGCAGCCAAATTACCTATGTTACCTAACACGACTTAGTGGGGGGAAAGGGATTGTTAGTAATGGAGACTGAATGTCGACCTCCTCGTGGTTCTCCCTAGAAACTATCATGGTTAATTCCTGATGAATTCATCATGATGGGCTAACTGACCTGTTTTCATTCTCATCTATCACCCTTCACTGGTGCTCCGCCAGCGTATCTCGCTAGCGCAGGCGAGGTTACCATTCCATTTTCGCCCATCAAAAAAAACACAACTTAGTAAACCCTGATAAAGATGTTTAAATGTTTATTACTCAGTAAATTAAATTTACTACTCTGATAGACCATATATAAGATCAACATAGGATATTTTTCATGGTGGTAGGATTTGCCACTATAAATTAAACAAAAGATTCATAAATTATATGCATAATGTAGCTAGTTAGAAATAACTGCAGCTTCTTTTTTTTATTTTAATTAAAAAATAAAACATATTATAATATAGTATGAGCTATATTGAAATAAAAGATACAGAATTTACATTGTATTGTATTGTATGGTAAAATCTTTATTGTGCATAATTTAAATTAGGCACATTAAAAGATTTAATATAAAATGGTGGACTTAGCCCATTACATTTTAATTATAATCTTACTAACATAATAAAATTGTAACTTGACAATGTCTATACATGAAGATTTAAGAAAAATGATTTATAATTACAATATAAATATATAAAATAGTTTGTACAACAAAGCACTTATTCTGGCTATATTTGTTTTATTTTTTATTAGAAAATGGTGACATACATAAGAAATATAATAGTTTCATATCTACAATAATTAAACAGTAAATCATACTACACTATTGTTGTAACATGTACAGTAAAAGAGGTATTGATCTCTCATTTTTATACTTTATTATAATAAATTAGGAAACTTTTCGAATATAAAATTATTAGCAATAAATAATAATAAAAAAGTTAATCTTTTTCAGATTTGTAATGCTGATATGGATATAATCAGTGTTGATGCAAGTCATCCTGGTGCCAACCACGATTCTTTTATCTGGAATAACCACCCCCTTAGATCTCATTTAGAAAATTTGAGTGCATCAGAGGCAATATGGCTTTTAGGTAATATTAAAGAAATACAGTAATTATTTATGTGTATACTAATAACATAAAGAAGAAAGATTTGGTTGTTTATAATGGATTAATTTAAAATCTACTCAACCGAGTTTAAAAAATTCTTTCTGCTATAGAGAAACAAATTGTCAATAAATAACATAGGCTATATATAATTTTTAAAAATTCTATCTACCCATGCGAAATCAGACTAGATCACTAATTTTATATAAAATCATAATTGTATTTAAATGTTTATATAATAATAATTGATTTTACAATAAGTAATGGTCTTTATTACAGGGGATTCCGGTTATCCATTAAGAAAAACTATGATGACGCCAATTTTGGAGGCAGCACCAGAATCACCAGAAGCTCATTACACTAAGCTACATGTGAAAGCGAGAAATACTATTGAGAGAACAATAGGTGTTTTAAAAGCTCGCTTTCGTTGTCTATTAGTTCACAGAGTGTTGCATTATCAACCTCAAATAGCTGGCTATATTACAAATGCGTGTATAATTTTGCACAATATTTGTAATGCAGCCAGTTTATCAATACCTGATCTGTCTGCAGAGGAGAACCAACAAGAGGCCTTAATGCAACCACCTGTAGTACCTTATGAAGACCCAGTAGGACGACAAAACCGTGAATTGCAAGTTGGTATTGCTACACGCCGGGATCTCGTTGCCCGTCTCTGGGCACTTCATCAGATACACTGAAAACAAATTATTTTGGTTTAGTAGATAAATTTAGTAATGTTGATAAATAACGGTAGCTTTAGGAAGTTAAAAATGTATGCAGTGTTGAAATATATATGGGAATACCAATCATTGTTATATACATACATATGTAGTACATATTATTTCACACCATATTCATATTCATAGATACAAAATCTTTACAACTGTACACTATTATGTTTTCAACAAAACTGAATTATCTCTTTTTCTATTACATATTATAATAATAATAATAATAATAATAATCTTTATTTGCTAAATTAACAATTAATTAATTTGTTTATTATAATAATTACTTAAGTAGAATCTGTTTAACCATTTGTTTTTAGTTTACTTAGTTTGAAATTATTGTTTAAATAAATGAATGAAGATTATTTCTATTGTATTCTATTTTTGTTTGAAAAGATTAACATCTAAGTTTTTTGCCTATATTTCTCAGCTAAAATTGTTTTCTAAATTATAAGATATAAATTATAAAGTTATTATTCAAAATACTTAATTAATTTACTTGAAAAAAAAATATACCATTCTATTCTTATTACTGACCTTGAGCATATCCTTTTCATTACATCCAACATTTCTTTGAGTATACCAACAGCCTGTTCTATAGAACGACTGTTGGCTAACTCTGCTTCTGCTCGTGACCTGGAAATTGCCACCAACTGCTCCCTTGCCTCTGCAATGGACACGTGACGTCGTCGCAATCGACGCCTCCTTCTTGGTACTTCCCTTCCTTCAACAAATTGAGTAATGCCCGATGGGACATTGCTCTGCATATCAATGGATGATGTTGATGGTCTTGGTGATTCTATTCTTTCTGTCACCATAATATGGGCTGATGATATCGATGGTACTTCTATGATCTGGGTTGTACCACTATCGGTATTTGTACCAGTATCACTAGGTCCCGATACTGCAGTAGTAAGATCACTCTAAATAAAAAAATAATTTTATATTAGGAGGCCTTTGCACAAAGAATTATAACTTTTATGTTTGAATTATTATTATTTCATAATAGTAATTAAGCATTTACAAATATTTAAGTGCATAATATACTTATCATTAAATACATACATTTCCTTCTAAGTCAACATTTAACCAAACTGCCTCCTCACTTCTTCCTTCACTGGTGCTGTGTTGGGAAGGATTGTAAGCAGCAGGTTGCGGTTCCTATGAAACATAAATGAATATTTTCTCAATAAAGTGACATAACTATAAAATAATATATTAAACTTCTACGTGTTTGCATGGGTACATTTGAGAGATATATTTTGTTTTCAGTACTTAACATTATATCAAACAAATAAGGATATAGGTACCTGAAATAAAATACATAGAATACTTACTTCTATCAGAATTGGTTGCACTTGTACACCAGGTAATCCAGAACCATAGTCAGCTCCTAAAATGGACAGGAACTTTATATCCATTTCTGACAATTCTTCATAAATTGATGGACCTCCTCCTGTCTGACTCGAGGCATCTCTCCTCAGGCGGTTTTTTCTTTTTATTTTAGCTTTGAGGTCCACCCAATACTAGAAGAAAAAAATTTTATAAAAAAGAAAAATAGGTATAAAAAGATGTTTAAGAGAATAAACCTTATTGGAACATACCTTAGACCATTCGGGGCCAGACTTAACAGCGCCTTCACCTACAGAATTCAATACAGATGCAACTCTTAACCACATCTGTTTCGAGTGTTCTCGGGCTTGAGCAGACTTGTTGTACCCAACTGCAATTTCCCTATGATCTTTAAGAAATTCCCATAAATTTTGCAGTTGGGTATATGTGACGCGCCGTCTGCTTTGTTGTGTTTCACTGCAATTCATATAATAATAAACACAAAAATATAAATAGACCTATAATATAACACACGTGGCTGCTAATATACAAAGATTTTTATTAAACTAACAATAAATAGTTACTCACAACATTATAGTTTTGAAGACCTTTATGCACAAAGGATAGCCAAATACTGAAAGTAAAGTGCTACTCCTCAATCCATTGTTCACATTTAAACACTTTAGCAAGTTTGGATTTATCCAACTTTATTTTAAAACACTTGAAATTTAAAACTTTTTTTGCCACTTGAGTGACGACGGTTTCAAATTCTTAATATTGTTTATTAACTTGTAATGATTTAAACTATAAAAACACTGGGTTTTTATATCGAGTTAACAAGAATTCATAATATTTATTATATAAAAATTGGTAATTATCATGAAATTTCTTGTTCAATATTCATGAAAATTTGGTAATAATTATTTAAGTGTTTGAATGTTCGCGGTAAAGTAATATTAGGCCAGACGACCAGAGACAATTTAAGCTATTCACCCGGTGGAAAACAATTTTTAAATAGTTCACCTTTAAAGGCGTCATAGTATGAATTTAAACAATAGTGTTTAAGGTCTACTTTTGAACTGCCCTGTATAAAGATGGTTTCTTATAAGCTGATGGTAAGCCTCCTGTTGTTTATTTCTTGCTAGGCACGTTGTACCTTTTTAGGTTATTTAACCTACAGACAGGAAAAATACATTAAGGTCACCTTCAAATAGTTTAAACATCGATAGATGTGATTTCGTTACATATTTAGCCTATGTATTCATGCTCTACTGGTTTTAATTACATTTAATTCACAGGCATTCTTGAGGCAGCATTAAACGTTGTTCAGTATGAGTGCAGAACCCCAAGCTAAACGCACGAAAATGAGTGAACTGGACCAGTTGAAACAATATTGTACTGTGGTTGCCGATACAGGAGATTTTGAAGGTTAGATTTTAATGTAAATATTTATAAATTAAAAAAAATTTGGATTACATATTTCATACTGATTTAATAATCCACAAATGATTAATGAATTACTTATTAAGGTGTGCCATTATTTACTTAAACATGACTAAAAACTAAGAATATCGTCTAACCAAAAATAACCTAAAACCTGTTCATATTTCAGCTATGAAAGCTTACAGACCTACAGATGCCACCACAAATCCAAGTTTAATACTATCGGCTGCTGCTATGGAACAGTACCAACATATACTTGACAAAGCTATCAAATATGGAAAGGATACTGGCAGGTAGTAACTATTTATTTAGAAATAATTTTTATCTATTATGAGGAAGATATATAGAAACCATCCCTAAGGATACTGGCCAAAATTTTAAAAGAGTAGTCTGCTTAAATTTATTTAAGATTTATAATAATATTAAATGTAATATTATATATTTAAAATTTTTATTTTATTTTAAACTTTGAAATTAAGATTAATTAAATATTATTATTTAATAAACCTTAATTTGTATGGCTTCATGAGGTTGGCAATAATAGATAAAAAAAATATTATATTTTTTATAATTTATTCTTCTAATAACACAATAGCAAATAAATGAAAGTGGTAACCTATAGACATTAATCATATAGACATAGCAGAATACATAAAGAATAAATACATACAAAATAAATTGAAAGTAACAGCAGTAAATCAAAGGTTGTCTGTAAGAAATTGCCCTAGCAATAAGACCGCCTCTTGTACCTTTATGTGTATATTTCAATCTGTATTTATGTTACTGTATTTCACTTGAATTGTTCAATTGTCATTGTATATTTTGTTTATGGTGTAATAAAGACTTAAATAAGAATAATGGAGAAGCTGAGAAGTAATAATTTATTTTGGTTGCATGTAATGTGTATATTTAAATATATTAGTTGAAGATGAGTAGAAGTATAAATATAGATGGCTATAATTATAGAGAAAAATATATCTATTTTACAATATGTGCATAAATACAAAATGTATTGTTTAGAAATCGCACCTACAATTATCACATTGCCATGGAATGTAGGTTCTTACCACTTCAATTGCAATGTTTGTTTTAAATCAAACTGCTAATGTAATAATTCATAATAATATGGTGTATGTACATACACTACATATGTGAAATAGTTACCAAATTACTTTCTAAATAATATACTTTATATTCAATGTATAGGTGCATGAGTATACTTTTACTTAAAGTTTTATTGTTTGTTTTATTGCAGCACCATTGATGAACAGGTAGTGGAGACACTTGATATGCTGAGTGTATTATTTGGTTGTGAAATTCTTAAAATCATTCCAGGACGAGTTTCTGTTGAAGTTGATGCAAGGTATGTAGTTATTATTACATACTGTTACATAGTGCATGGAATATAATTAGTAGTAAGTAGTATATATATATATATATATATATATATATATATATATATATGTGTGTGTATACATATGTATATATATATGTATATATATATGTATATATATATATATATGTATATATATATATATATATATGAGGACCATCCAGGACCCTTAGTTGCGAACGTAAGCCTGACTGAACACACTTAGGCGTACATAGTGCTCACAGTGTCAAGTCAATATCTTCAACATTGACTATGAATGAAAGGTAGAGAAATACTGTATGCACATGACGGATTACCAACAGTCAGTTCAGTCATTCATATAAAAAAACTTTTGAACAAGGCTTGTGCACAGCGGGCCGAGGCAGCAGTCAGGCCGCACTTGTGTTCCAGCTGCTTAGGAGAAAGGGTTCTAGATGGTCCCAAAACTAGTCGAGTTTTCTAGACTAAATTGGTCGACATGTAAGTTAAACCAGTAATTACTACATTAAAATATAATGTGTACTTACAAAACTTTTGTGTATAACATGTACAATATGTTGATTTGGAGAATTTGATTATGAACAAGTTATTGATTATAAAGTATTAAAGATATTAAATAATATATTAATATGTATGATATGTATAAATACATAAAAAATTATACAATATTAGATTTCTTAAAATGATTATTTGTCTGGGGGTTTTATGGTAGGATATATATTTATAAAATCTTTATTGAAAAATTTTTGGTTTCAGATTGTCATTTGACAAGGATGCTAGTATTGCTAAAGCCATTAAGCTGATTAGCATGTTTGCAGAATTTGGTATCAAGAAAGATAGGATTTTGATCAAATTGGCTTCTACATGGGAAGGCATACAAGCAGCTAAGTAAGAATATTTTAATATTTGTTGTTCATATATGGAAGTGTAATAAGATAAAATATATATAAAATGGTCTCCTAGTATAACTAATGCTGCAAATTCACCAATTACTGAAATTACAATCTTAATTTTTTTATGAAACTTAGAGTGGTAACCATCGTCTATAGACATGAATGGTATTATGGATATAACAGAGTATAATTTGTCCCCATAACACCCTTCATGCATAAATACCCTAATCTACCTATTTTTCGATTACCATCTAAACAAAGTATTTTTAGGTAGGTATAATAATATATAGAAACAGCAAATATAAGTATATATATATATATATACAAATTATTCCTTGTTATTTTGATATTTGAACCTATGAGGTTCTCTATCCTAGAAATAAGTTTTAATATTATAGTTTAAATTATATGGTTATATAGCACTTTAATATATTTAATAATGAGCTAATCTATCTTGTTAGTGTATTATAAGACATGCATAACATTATACCAAGACACTAATTAGATTCAAACTAGATTTCAATTAAAATTCCATATTAATGAAATGGTGACCAGTTCACTTCTCGTTAATCCAGATATGTACTTATAAAGCATTTTCCTTACCTATAGATTTAATGTCTCAATTTAAAAGGGAAATAACTTCAATTTTCTTGGAATATTTTTATTATTGAGGTACATATAGCATACAGAAAATAGATATAATTGTAATGTATTTTTTAAATTGAATCTTCAATTTCTCTAGGTACCTGTCTAATGTAAGAAATGTAAGGTTATTGTTTGTCTCTATTGACATACATGTCTAAACTTCTTTTTATGCAGTTTATAATGACAAACAAGCTGATGGTCCCCGGATAAAAAATGGTAACCATTGCCTATAGACATACTGTGACAGTACCATGAACATAACAGAGTATACTGTGTCATCCATAATACCAAATATTAATATATATATATATATATATAACGGCTTTACCGATTTTCATGAAATTTTGAGTGCATATTGGGTAGGCCTGAGAATCGGCCAACATCTTTTTTTAATACCCCTCAATGATAAGAGTGACCCACCCCTAAATTTTTTTTTTATTTTTTGACAATTTTTTTTATTTTTATTTTATTATGATTTAGCATTGAAAAATATATACAACTTTAAATTTTCATCGTTTTACGATCAACCCCTGTATTTTAATCGTGATTTTTATATTTCGCAATAAGTGGTAAAACAACGTTTACGGGGTCAGCTAGTATATATATAAAAATGGCCCACATGTTGGAAAGTGGTAATCGTCGCTTATAGACATGAGCAGTACCATTCCTGAGGACTCAGGTGTTATTCCTCTGTACCCAGTAAATTCACGCCATATCCCACCCTTCCAATCGAAACACAGCCGTGCAAACACAACTGCTTCACGGTTGAAACACGAATGAATATAGAAATCATAAAACTTTAAATATATTCTTTAATATATATATATATATATATATATATATATATATATATATATATATATATATATATATATATATATATATATATATATATATATATATATATTATTAGACACTTGGTAATGTACTATATAATTGTAAACGAATATAGAAATATTATTAAAATATTAATCATGTTTAAATAATAGTTAAGTGATTGAAAAATTTAAAGCGTGACTTGGTCGCCTCTAATACAATCCAAATGTAAAATTTAAATGTAATTTGAATTTCTTATCCGTTTTGTCACGATGTCATCTTGTTCTTTTAAACTTTTTTATATATGTAAATCCTACTAATATTATAAATGAAATTTTGTAAAGATGTTTGGATGTTTGTATATTTATAACTCGATTACGCTTGAATAGTTAAATGAAATTTGTTTCACGGGTAGCTTATATTCTGACTTAACATGAGTATTTTATATACCTACTGATTTATGTGGGCAAAGCCGTGACAAACTGCTAATATAATATCATCAATAATATCATTAATATTATTTATGATAACTTTTTCTAATGATTGTATTAATTTTACAGGGAATTGGAGAAGAATCATAGTATACATTGTAATTTGACATTACTCTTTTCATTATATCAAGCTATTGCTTGTGCAGAAGCTAATGTGACACTTATTTCTCCATTTGTTGGACGTATTCTGGATTGGTAAGTATAGTTGAATATTATGTTATAAATTTAGAGTAAAAATTAGAGTATGCTAAATATAATGACAATACAAATGAGTGTGTAATAACAGGACAATGTTATATTTCAAAACATAGACATTTTTTATCTATTTTTCATCATTTTTATGATGCTAAAATTACACACATAATATTCAATTAAAGGGAGCCTACATAAGTACTAAATTGATTTATTTCGCATCTATGAAATTCGACTACTAATTTTTTTTTTAATACGACTTAGAATGGCAAACAAGCTGACGGCCCACCTGATGGAAAGTGGTAACCGTCGCCTATAGGCCTATAGATGTCGCATATAACAGTACCATGGATACAACACAGTATACTGATTCGCCCATGATACCCCCCATGCGTTGCCATTCCTGAGCATTGAAAAATACATACAACTTTAAATTTTCATCGTTTTACGATCAACCTCTGTATTTTAATCGTGATTTTTATATTTCGCAATAAGTGGTAAAACAACGTTTACGGGGTCAGCTAGTATATATATAAAAATGGCAAACAAGCTGACGGCCCACATGTTGGAAAGTGGTAATCGTCGCTTATAGACATGAGCAGTACATTCCTGAGGACTCAGGTGTTATTCCTCTGTACCCTGTAAATTCACGCCATATCCCACCCTTCAAACCGAAACACAGTCATGCAAACACAACTGCTTCATGGTTGAAACACGAATGGGACAGAGGTACCCAAGCAAACGACTTTTGTACAAAGTCTCCCTCTGGTAAATTAAGTTGATAATTAAATATAAAGTATTAGTGTAGTTATGAAAAATGATTCCATTGTGTCACAACAGGTAGATTGTTGTACAATAACAATTGTGAGTCATACTGTTAACAGAAACAACAAGTATTTTTCCGTTGCTAAAAATCCATGACTTCCAATTTGGTCAAAATTAAAAGTAATAGTATATACCTATGAATGATAACATATTTCATAGAGAAATTATAAAATATTTGAATTTAGAACGTCAAAAGAGGGAGAAAAGTTACGGTACAAAAATAAACTGCTTAGGTACCTCTGCTTATCCGTGCTGCTATCGTGAAGCAGTTAGCTTGCATGGTTGTGGTTTAAGTTTGAAGGGTGCGATTTGGCAGTGAAATAACAGGGTACGGAGGTATAACATTGTAGTCCTCAGGAATAGCTACGTATGAGGGGTACGAAGGACATCTTAGTGTATTTTGTAATGTACTGTTCATGTCTATAAGTGGCGATTACCACTTTCAGTAAGTGCGGGCCGTCAGCAATATATAAAAAAACGATATATCATCATGTTAATATGAAACTAACACATATACTACCTAAACCTTGTCAAATGCAAAAGTTTTATAAAAATAATTTTAGAATTAGCAAACATAATATGCAATATATAATATACACAAAAAAAATGCAAACGAATTGAGAATTTTTCCTTTATTGGTAATTGCTTAAGATTGAAGTAAAACAATGTATGCATTACATCTACATGGTGAAATTAAATAGATTCACATTCACTCTATATATCTTTCTTGTAACTTGCAATTATTTAAAGTCAACCAATGTGCCGTATATATTAATTAAATACTGATTTTTGTAGGTATGTAGAACATACGAAAAAGACTTACGAAGGTAAAGAAGACCCAGGCGTTTTATCAGTAACCCGTGTTTACAATTATTATAAGAAGTTTGCTTATAAAACACAAGTTATGGGGGCGTCGTTCCGTAATACTGGTGAGATCAGGGAGCTGGCGGGATGCGATCTTCTCACAATCAGCCCCAAGCTTTTGCAGGAATTGGCTAATAGTAACCAAACACTCAAAAGGGTAAGTTTTTATTTATACGCAACATAAGACATGAAGTGTAAAAAATATATTTTCATGTTACATCTAATATAACAATTTAAAGATATATTTATATATTTTTTTTTTTTTTGGTTAATAATAAATATATTATCGTATTTTGATCAATAAACCAGTTAACAGTGTACTATTTATATAGTGAGTATGAAATAGTCACAAAGCCATTTTTGAGTTTAAATCATTTTGGTCCTTTGCTTCCGAAAACGTAAAAATAGTACAATTTACTTAATAACACTGATAACATGATTTTGTCATAAAATTTTATCTATACCTTATGTTCCATTATGTGATTTGTACCATCTTGAACAAAATGTCCTAAATAAGTTCATTGTTTTGCTGTGGAAATGTGACATATTGTTCCTTCAATTCTTTAAAATAATTTTATTTTAGGTTCTTGACCCGAAAACCGCTGCGGAAAGTGATATTGAGAAAATATCACTAAGTGAAGCTCAGTTCCGCTGGCACCTTAATGAAGACCAGATGGCCACTGATAAGCTTTCTGAGGGCATAAGGAAATTCGCCGCTGATACAAGGAAACTTGAATCTCTAATCAAGACTTTACTAGTTAAATAATTATTTGAATAATAAGTGACGTAAACATTACATTATTAAGAGTAAGTCCTGCTGGCTGGTTTACTTTTAATTGATGTTGATATTGTGAAGTTTTACTTTATATAATTAAATTTATATTAAGATTCTTTACAATTTTTTATATACAATATATGAATTAATTTTGTAAAAATAATTTAAAACATATCTCTAATGTCAATTCGTATATTTTTGTATACATTTATAAGGCGTTTGACAGACGGAGCGGTGCTTGGTCAAGTGGTTTAAATTTGTACTATTTTGTAAATTGCCCGTTCATATACGGCGTATAATGGCATTTTATATCTTTATATTTGCTATGAATATAAACATCGATTTCGAATTAAAGGTCTCGTTTTTAGGACGTACAAGGCGTTGCCTGGTCGCCGGTGACCCTCACAATTCCATTGCTCCCTGTGTTAATCGCCTGAATTGTTTTAATTTTTTATATTTTTGGGAAAAGGTGACTATCGTGTTTCATTAAATGCGAAAACAGATTAGATTTTTTTTTATTTTCCTATTACACAAATTTAATAATTTGGTATAGGTAATTGAATAATTACTAGGTATCTCTTAATGTCTTCCAAATATGTATATCAAACGTAGCCCGAAGTAAAATAATTGAGTCAGTTAAAACATTCTACTGTTTATCTTTTATGATAAAATCAGATCATCAATAATATATATATATATATATGTGGAGAAATAACTGTCACATAAGCTTCTGCACAAGCAATAGCTTGATATAATGAATTGAAAAGAGTAATGTCAAATTACAATGTATACAATGATTCTTCTCCAATTCCCTGTAAAATTAATACAATCATTAGAAAAAGTTATAAATAATATTAATGATATTATATGATATTATATATATATATATATATATATATATATATATATATATATATATATATATATATATATATATATATATATATATATATATATATATGCATGCTACATGCTATTTCACTATTACTACAGAATAATAAATAATACCGTGTGGTCCTGGCATAGAATCGGCCACCCCTTTTTTTCCCGTGGATGTCGTAAGAAGCGACTAAGGGAACTTAAAGGTCGAGGGATAGATCGTCAATAGACCTCTCAATAGAGGGAGGTCTCTGTTCAGCAGTGGACAATTAACCGCTGATATGGTATGAGAATCGATAATAAAGCCGCACAGAGATAAGTCTGTACTTGGAACATTCCATATATTTTAAAACTTCATGTTTTTGACTTTGTTTAAAATCATTAACACATCTACTTGGATATTGTTTTAATAACATATTTACTTTAAAAGGATTTAAGTAATAGGGTCTAACTAAACAATTGCTATCACTTGTCGTCCCGCACTGGTGCCTCGCCAGCGTATACCGATAGCGCAGGCGGGGTTATCATTCCATTATCACTAATTAAAAAAATAAAACATATTTACCTAAGTACGGCTATATATACGGTGTATACTTATTTATATATATATACACACACGCACACATCTATATATATACTATACGTACTTTTGTACTTGAGACAACTAAATATAAGAATAATAATGCTCCAAAAATTTCGTTGATACCTTAGTTCGCGATGTATTACAATTTGATGGGAATTTTTAAGAGGAATTTAAAATTGATTTGAAAACCAAAACATAATTTTGATAAAAATAAAAATGCAAATAAGCAAATAAATTTGGTCTTTAACGGTTATTGCGGGAAAGGTGTAGGTATAGCTATTACTTTTTGAAGAAGTTTGTGTTAAATCTGCAAATTCATAATTATTGTTAATTTTTTTTTTTATAAGGAATTATATTTTGAAAACGTTTAAATGTGCTTGCAATAGGCAGTGGTGGGTGTATGGCTAGGCTACGCGGCTAGGGTAGGCGGCCGCGCACCGTCCTGTGATCAATACTCTGCTCTACTTTCAGCGGCCTTCTGAGTCGCAACGGTATGGTACAGCCTCACTTCTGGCAGCTGACGTTCAATTTCCCTTCAATAATTTTGATCTGAAAATTTTTATTACTCAATATGTTTTCTAGATTAAATAAACAAATGGATACTAATTTTAGGAAGTCATTAATAGCACACTGTGAATAATAATAATTATTTATTTGCTCGAAATGTGGTACTAATGGTCTTAAATATTATTGAGCTACACATTTCGCCTTATCTAAAGGCATGCAAATTTTTATTTCAGCACATGTTAATTATTTTTTAGTGGCTTACGTATACTAATAGCCTAGTAGGAGTTAATCTATAAATATTGGCAGTTGCACACATACCAAAGGTAGCAGAACTAATCAACAATGATACAAATTTTTAATGATAACGACTTGGAAGTTCTTATTCAGTACAATGTACTTATTCGGTACTTATTCTGTACAATATGATAAATCTCTAGCTTCAAACAATTAACCTAATATCTGACTTATAGATTCCTTATAGAATATAGATGAAAGTTTGCATCCACTAAGAAAAGATTTTACACAATTTCCACGAAAATTGGTGTTGGATTATTTTCCAGGGGGGAGGGGCGACATGGCCTCTTAAAAAGGGCAAATTAATTATTCTCAGACAGACCTGTCTTTGTACATAGTTAAAAGTTCCGCTCGTATCTTAAGGTGGGCACCAGCAATTCTGGTGTGGGTACGGCTCATCCAGCCCTCACTTCAATACGCCTATGTTTGAGCAGTTAATAATATACCTAATTCGTATTTGTGTAAATATTGACTATTAGCTACGTAGGTAAATTAATCTGTGTATTTTCAACTAATGCATTATTGATGATTTACACTTAGGTAGGTACCGAAATTATTTTTATTAGTAATGTTTTCTAGCGATTTTTCTAATATCTATGTATATATCTATTAAGTGAAAGTTTGGAAGTTCGTTACTCAAATCATACTTGTTTCGAATTTGGAAGAAATTTAGTATATTAAATTTATAGTATATAATTATATATGAACTTATTTACGTAGGCAAAGTTACGGAACATGGTTTGTCTATTAAATTAATTAAAGAAATTAGATTTTTGTGTATAAATGTATGATAGACTTAAAAAATATTCAACTGACTTAAATTAATAATTACATCAAATGGGCCGTAGGCTTGTTTGCCATTTTAAGTTGTATAAAGAATTTTTTTCCCTAAAGAAAGCTACATCACCAGCAAATAACATAGGTTCAGTTTTATTAAAAAAATAAAGATGTATCTCTATAGACTATTGCGAAGCCAGAACGGGTCGCTAGTATCAAAATTAAAGTTTTTCTTACAAAAAAGATATCGACCAGATAGTTTTCCCTTTTATAATCATCACACATAATTAATATTACATAAGTGATATTAATTATTATAATTATTATTGGAGCCAAATTAAACATGTGTTATTTTCCACGTGATAAGTACGATTAGAGATGGATTATTTAATTCTTTGTTATTTTTCAATTAATCTTTGAGCAGGTAGGTAGTTTATTAGTTACTAGTGAAACTTTTTAATGTAATACGTAAATAAAAGCTCCTCGTACAGCAAGGATACCCATCAGACAATTTTCATTTCATATTCGTCAGTAGAGAAAATTTCATGAAGAGGGGGTGAAGTAGGGCGAGGGGTATGGCGGGGGCGGAGTCTTGATATTGACCTAGATGTTCATTCAGAGTTCGGTCGATGCAAAACTTGACATCTGCGCGTTCCTGCGTTTTATATTTTCTGATTTAACATGTATTTAACACGCTTGCTTCTTGATTTATTTCTTCTGTAAAATTATTTTAAAATCACTAATATTTTTAAATTGTAGAATAATCACAATATATTTTGTGTAATTATACATAGTGGTAGTTTCTGTCCAGTCTCAGGGAGTGTGATGTGCAGTGCGATGTTCAGCGTTTCTTGGGTGATCAGCTCTCTTGAGATCACCAATATCATGCTTAAACAACGACATGTGCTTACTTAGTTTCAATACTATCATCGTATAAGATGGAAAAGCTATCTAAAACTCATATTCCGGCAGTGACTAAAGGTATCCCCGCTATGGATATAAAATACCCAGACGTGAGTACCTATTTATCGACCTGTATTACGATAGTGTTTCAATACTACATTATATAGATTTCTATAGAATAATTAGATAGAGGCCTATTTTGAATCAAATAATATATTATAGTATTGTAGTAAATAATAATTACTTAGAAATTATTTTTAAATCGACTGTAAAAGATTGATTACAGATATTTTTGAGGTCGTATTTTAGGTATTTAATATTATATTTTTGTCATTCCTGAATTCTAATTCGTTAATTTTTATTTATTTTATTAAAGTTACAGCTATTTTTCAATATAATCTTAAATATTAAAAAAAAAAATTTACTTGATTTAGTTACGTAACTATAGGTTAAAGGTAGTACCTAGTAGTAAGTAGATTGTTATATTGAGGTGATTAGAAGGATGTCTATGTACTGAATGCTGAACATGTAGCTAACATAACTTTTATATTTAGGACTACAAGAAATGGCCAAAATAATATTTATGCATATATACTTATTTGTAGTGTGTTAGGAGTTAGTTGCCTATACTTATATGAAGTGGTCATATTTTGATTAATAAAAGTGCCTTGACAGCTATAGCTTGATTGTAAAGGCTATTTTTTCCAAAAGAAAAATCTCAATTCGCTTTTTTTGTGAGTATGTTACAAGTTCCCAAATAGTAAAAGGATTTCGATAATTCTTTTTGCAATTAACAGTCTCTTATTATTCATGTTATTACTAAAGTTGCATTGTATTGACAATCACTCAATAACTAATAATTAAATTTTATATTATTTATAGTCAATAAATTTAAAATTTTGGTATGGGATCCTATAACGTAAGCTTATATTAACGAAGTTGGTACGGTACTTTAGTACTACTACTAGTACCACTTTAGTGGCTACGAGTGGATTTGGGTTGACAATTTAGGTATATTTTTTTACAATATTCGATAAAAATTTGTGAGTTTACAAAATTTTGGAGAAATTGTTAAAGAAAATTAAAACAGCTGAAAGGAAAGGGTAATTTTTTTTTAACAAAATTGGTATTTGTAATCTATATGGTAATACACAATTTGTAATCTTCATAGTAATACATACAATGTTCTAATGAAAGTACATGACATGTAGAAATTAGCAATGCATCGTAACTTAGAGACAATGGCGTTGTTTTGTCGTTCGCGTACTGTTATTTGTAGTTGTATAAAAGTAAATGAAATCATATCAATTTATAGAAAATGATGATGGAGTGGATCCTAATTGGTCGGAGACTAGACCCAAGTGAATCAATCGACAAATGTTAAATGACTTACAATTACTACCTATTTAAAAATTACTAGAGTGTAACTTTATACTAAAATCATCTGCTTGGGTACCTTTGTCCATTCGTCTTTCTGCCGTGAAGCAATAGTGTTCGTATGGCTGTGTAAAGGAAGGGTGAAATATGGCAATATAATTACAGGGTACAGAGGCATAACATCTT